GGGTCTGGCGTGTGCTAACTGTATGGCTTCCGCAAGAGGGTCTGAGGCCTTTGCGTGGCATCCGCGCTTGCCCCGGAAATCCCGAGCGGTGCTTTGCGTGGCATCCGTGCTCGGCCCGAGCGGGATCCCGAGCGGGCTAGCGAGCCTGGCCGTTTTGGTCCTCTGCGCGTTACCAGCGCCTTGCGCGGCGTCTGTGCTCGGCCCGGGCGGGGCCTCAAGCCTGTTTGCGGGCGCAGCCCCGGCAAAACTTCGAGCGTATTTGTGGGCTTTCAAGAGTGAAACCAGAGCACGGTGTTTCTTCAGGATTATGGACTTGTCGTTTTCTTGCTGGTAAGGCTTTTACACAGTTTCCTAGCCCAGCTTGAGTTCGGGACTCGATGGCCCAACTGTTCCGCTACGATAATGCATTTGCATTTGGATGCCAAATGGTGCAACACTCGGACAATGCGAGCTTCTTGATAATGTCGTGTTTTGTTGCTACGGGCGCCCTTTCAAGTCGCAGGAAGCATGGCTTTAGGGGTGGAGTTGTCAGACTTTTAGGGGTGGAGTTAAGGCTGCCCGTTCTTTTAATTCCGAAAGCCGAATTCAATTATCAAGACAGCTGGGCTGCCCTTGCAGGAATCGGAGAGTACTGTAGGAGAAGCGCGTTGGCAAGCGTCTGGCTGACACGGCCAAACGAGGCGCAAGAGAATCTGGCGTGTGCTAACTGTATGGCTTCCGCAAGTGACACCTTTGCGTGGCATCCGCGTTCGCCCCGAGCGGGATTGGCTTCGCTTGCCTTTGCTCTTGCCGTTGCGCGGCACCCGTGCTCGGGCCGAGCGGGATCCCGAGCGGGCTACGCCTGCGCGCTGCATCCATAGTTGGCCTGAGTGGACTCCCGAGCGTGGCTGCGTTGGTCCCGTGTTTGGCCCGAGCGGGATCCCGAGCGTGTCTGCTTTGCTTTGGTCCTTACCAGCGCCTTTGCGCGGCGTCTGCTCGGCCCGAGCGGGATCCCAAGCCTGTTTGCGGGCGCGGCCCCGGCAAAACTTGTGGGCTTTCAAGAGTAAAACCAGGCCACGGTGTTTCTTCATGATTGTGAACTTGTCTTTGTCTTGCGGGTAAAGCTTGTACACGGTGCCCAAGTCAGCTTCACTTCGAAACTTGGTGGCCCAACGGTTTTGCTACGATAATGTGTTTGCGTTTGGACGCAAAACTCGGACAATGCAAGCTTCTTGATAGTGTCGTTTTATTCTACGGGCGCCCTTTCAAGTTGCAGGAAGCATTGCTTTAGGGTTGGAGTTGCCAGGCTTTCAGGGGTGGAGTTGCCAGGCTTTTAGGGGCCCGTTGTTTGTGAATCCCAAAGCCAAATTCAATTATCAAGACAGTTGGGCTGCCGTTGCAGGAAACGGCAAATACTGTAGGAGAAGCGCGGTTGCATCCTGGCTGGCTGACACGGCCAAGCGAGGTGCAAGAGGGTCTGGCGTGTGCTAACTGTATGGCTTCCGCAAGAGGGTCTGAGGCCTTTGCGTGGCATCCGCGTTCGGCCCGAGCGGGATCCGAGCGGGATTCCGAGCGTGGCTTCGCTTGCCTTTGCTTGTGCCCTTGCGTGGCACCCGTGCTCGGCCCGAGCAGAAACTCGAACGCGGTTGCTCTTCCATTTGCTGACGCCTGTTGCGTGGCATCCGTGTCGCCCCAAGCGGGAGCCCGAGCGTTTGTACGTTTGCCTGCCAAAGTGTACTTTGTCTATTACACTTGTACTGACAAGTTGCGACCATTGAGCTGGAGCTGCCAAAGTGTATTTCCTTAAACACTTGTACTGAAAAGTTGCGACTTTTGTGCCGGAGCTGCCAAAGTGCGTTTCCTTTACTACACATGTGCTGAAAAGTTCTGACTTTCGAGGCGGAGCTGCCAAAGTGTACTTCCTTTACTACACTTGCACTGACAAGTTGCGACCTTCGAGCCGGAGCTGCCAAAGTGTATCTCCTTGTACTGAAAAGTTGCGACTTTCGAGCCAGAGCTGCCAAGGTGTATTTCCGTTACTGCACTTGTACTGACAAGTTGCGACCTTCGAGCCGGAGCTGCCAAAGTTTCCTTGTACTGAAGAGTTGCGACTTTCGAGCCGGAGCTGCCAAAGTGTATTTCCTTTACTGCACTTGTAGTGAAAAGTTGCGACTTGCGAGCCGGAGCTGCATTGCTGGATTTCCACATGTCAACGCGGTAGAATTTGGCACCTGGCAATCCATTTGTATGTTGGCAAACTCTTGTCTTTCACCCTGACAAGTCGTGGGACACAAAAGAGCCACGGACAAAACACGTGTAGACCACTTTGGTAAAGGGGGTACTCTTTGGCCTACGACTCCAAAAAGCCACGGACAACGATACGGTCTCCCCCAAAAACGATAACCGTTAGTTAACACGTGGCTCTACAATGACCCCTGCAGTTGCAGCTTAGTTGGGGTGGGACCCTTGCGTGGCCGCCGTAAAACGCTAAGGCGAGTCGCGACTTGTGTTCTTCGCGCGTGCTCGGCTTGTGCTACAAAGTTGCGATTTTCGCGCTGGAGCTGCGGAAGTGCACTTCGCGTACTAGACTTGTACTACAAAGTTGCGATTTTCGAGCTGGAGCTGCGGAAGTGTGCTTCGCGCACTAGACTTGCACTACAAAGTTGCGATTTGGAAGTGTGCTTCGCGTACTAGACTTGTACTACACAGTTGCGATTTTCGAGCTGGAGCTGCGGAAGTGTGCTTCGCGTACTAGACTTGTACTGCAAAGTTGCGATTTTTGAGCTGGAGCTGCGGAAGTGTTCTATAGACTTGTACCACAAAGTTGCGATTTTCGAGCTGGAGCTGCGGAAGTGGGCTTCGCGCACTAGACTTGCACTACGATTTTCGAGCTGGAGCTGCGGAAGTGCACTTCGCGTGCTAGACTTGTGTGCTACAAAGTTGGGATTTTCGATCTGGAGCTGCGGAAGTGTACTTCGCGTAGCTAGACTTGTGCTACAAAGTTGCGATTTTCGAGCCGGAGCTGCCACAGTTCGAGAACACTGTAACACAATAATAACGTTCAACAAAGTACTAGGGCCAAGTAAAGCATCACCTATTCACGCAAGCTCCATGTAAGCCAGTCCACCGCACACCCTTCTTCCATCATAGGCTCACTGGGTTCTGCAAGTTTCTACGCTTAGTGAAGATTTGACACGTGTGCTTCCATGAACATTCGAGAAAGCGTATGTAGCCCTTTGATGTTCTGTTCGCCTGCCCAAAACCAGAGAGCCCCATGTGCGACCTGTTGACCGCTGTTTTGGGTTTCAGGGTGTGGCAGGTGTGTGCTAACTGTTCAGGGTTGACGGGGCATTCCGGCCAACACAGTAATGTGCTATCTGCCTAGGAAAAAAGTGCTAACTGATTGATACGCACTATACTACACGTGTGCTGAAAAGTTGCGACTTTCAAGCTGGAGCTGCCGAAGTGTACTTTCTTTACTACGCTTGTACTGGACTTTCGAGCCGGATCTGCCAAATTTACTTCCTTTGCTACACAAAGTTGCGATTTTCGAGCCGGAGCCGCCAAAATGTACTTCCTTTACTACGCTTGTACTGAAAAGTTGCGACTTTCGAGCTGGATCTGCCAAATCTACTTTCTTTACTGCATTTGTACTGAAAAGTTGCGACTTTCAAGCCGGAGCTGCCAAGGCATACTTCCTTGTAGTGAAAGCTTGAGACTTCCGGGCAGGAGCTGCCAATGCGTACGTCCTGTACTACACTTGTACTGAACATTTGAGACGTCCGGGCTGGAGCTGCCAATGCGTACTTCCTGTACTACAGTTATACTGAAAAGTTGCGGCTTTCGAGCCGGAGCTGCCAAAGTGTACTTCCTTTACTACACTTGTACTGCAAAGTTGCGACTTTTGAGACGGATCTGCCAAGTGTACTTCCTTTACTACACTTGTACTGAAAAGTTGCGACTTTTGAGACGGATCTGCCAAGTGTACTTCCTTTACTAAACTTGTACTGCATTGCGAAAGTTGCTCGTTTCAGAAAGCGTATCTCTGCCCACAACCAGAGAGGCATGTGCTAACTGTTGGTCGCCCCTTTCGGTTTCGGGGTGTGGCAGGTGTGTGCTAACTGTTCGGGGCTGACGGGGGCATTCCGGCCAACCCAGGGATGTGCTAACTGTGCCGCCTGCTAAAAAGTGCTAACTGATAGATACGCACTATAGTTAATGTGGTGGTTTAGTTTGCGGGTGGGGTTAATGGTTGTTGTGGTTGGGTTTAACAGTCAAGTGGTCACTTTTAGCGGGGGATCCGAAAACGGGCAGCCCGCGGGGGGTTTGGTGCAGGGGAGTCGGGTTGCCTAAGGCTCCCTAACGAACCCTAAGGAACCCCAGGCTTGGGGAAGAGCCCGTTACCCTGAACAGCTGCGGATCTCTTGCACGCAAAGATCTACCAGCACCCCCCCCCCCCCGAAAAATATATAAAATAAAATAAACATATTTTTGTCCATGTTCAAAATCCCAAGTACTGCAAAAAAGCAGGGGTTTCGGTGCTGGAACTTGGATGTTTAACCCACACGGAAGCGCGTTGTAACTCCACGGGGACTAACCTCGTGTAAGTTACAGCCATGGTTATAACCTATTTGCCTTGCTTTGGTTGAACATCCAATCGCCTTGGTTTGGAAGTTGGAACTTGGCTTGGTCGATTCTGAACCTTGCGGAAGGCGAAGTGGGGGGTCCAACCAGATCCCTCGTAACTGGAACCTGCTGCGGCTGCGGGGTTTTGTTTTGTTTTTTTGTTGTTGTTGTTTGCTTTTTGTTGTTTTTTCAGAGGACTTGAGAAGCAAATGGAGAGATTTAGGATTAGGATCAGAATGCCAGCACAACATGGGACCCTACTACCTCCCTCCCGAAAGATCTCGAAACCCCGTAGATTTCTTCCCTCCAACAAAAAAGGAAGTGCACATGCCCACATGCCTCCACCACTGGGTTTTCAGTATGACTCAGCTCTGTCGACCGACCTTCGGCGCCAGGCAACAGCTACTCTCAGCGGAGGCCATTGCCATGCACCAGCAGATGGAGCACCAGCCCAGAGCTGAGTCAAAGACTTGGGTCGACGGGAGATCGGATCCTGACGGGCCCTTTAAACGGAAAAGGGTCCAAACCAGGACCCTGTGAGGTTCCATGTTTATATTGGTGGGAGGGTAACAAAAACATTTGGGTGGCTCGTCTTCTCCTGAGTTCGGGAAAAAGCATCTGCGAGGCCAAGCCCCGACTCGACTCAAGTTTGGATTTGGATTCGGCGGTTCCGGAGCTGAGGATGTTCCTTTTAGTTTTGTTTGGCAGGGGGATTGAGTCTTCATGATTGCCTTCCCGTGAATTGGTGGTTTAGTTTTGTTTGGCAGGGGGATTGAGTCTTCATGTTTGGCTTCCCATGAATTGGTGGTTTAGTTTTGTTTGGCAGGGGGATTGAGTCTTCATTTTCGGCTTCCCATGAATTGGTGGTTTGGATTGGTGATTTGGATTTGGATTCGAACCCCCGGTTCTTGTCGAGGGTAAATGGGAAACCACCCCTAACCACCAAACCGCCAAATAGAGGGAAGCTGATGTGTATTTGTTTGGGCGGATTTGTTGTTCGCCGTTTGTACACGCGCTTGCAAATGAAGCAAGCAGGTGAGCACTCTCGTTCTGTTGAGACAGCAGAACTGTCCTGTAGAAGCAAGCTAACACCACCAGGCTTGAGTGGGAAAGGACCACATAATGTACATTATGAGTTGCTCATGAGTGGATTCTGTTTTGAAGCAAGACGTAACAGTCTCTAAGGGGAAACAACCTTTTTTGTTTGCGCGTGGTTTGCATTTCTCAGCAGGGCATGTTTGGGAATTCGTCAAAAGACGTTGGATTTGATAGCAACAAGGGTCTACTTGCTTAAGTCAGCCACTCAAAGGGTTTCCTCCTTTTCTTCTTGTTGGAGCCTCCAAAAGTGGCGATCCTTTCAAGTTTAGATTCTCATGGCTTGCCTTGAGAATCACACTCTCTATGGTAATTCAACAGCAAGTTGTTTTGATCAAATCTGTTTGGCCACATGCTTGGCCATACAGCTGCACTGGTTGTAGGTGTAGGTACATGTGCAGCAGTGTCATCTGACTGCTTGCCCAACTTGTGTTTTCGATGGATTGCTTGGAAGCAGTGTGGGGGATGCGGGCTTGGCAGAAGCCATGCGAGAAGAGCTACGTCGGCTGGGGTATGTTACTGAGATGGTTTTTGTCAAAACTTTCCGCTCGGAGCAAACGCTGGATCGCTTTATAGAGATGCTGTTGATGCAAAAGAAGGTCATGGGCGAAGTGTGTGCGGCAGAATGGGTGTCGGATCCGGTGGCCGGCATGCTGCGCGGATGGTGGGGCAAGGCAGCTGGCGCGGCAGCGGCGCCGGATCCAAAGCAACCCGCAGCAGAGCACAGAGTTGAGCTTGCTTGGATTGGGCTTGGGTGCAAAGCTGGAGATTGGCCAGATGCGTGAATTGTGGACCAAATTCACAAAGGATTGCCCGTCCGAAATTTTGGGTGAGCGCACGCGGCCTTGCAGAAAGCTGTTGCAGCGTGTCCACCAGCAAATGAAGAACGCTGACCTGCGCTTCATCCCATGGAAGCTTGTTCTCAGCGAAGCGGGGTGGAAAATGTCCAGTGTCTGCCTTGCCGTTCGCGGTTCAGCGTGCGTTGTCCTTGCGGGCGGTTTCATGGGCGGCCGTGGGTTGGTGCCACTTGGCGGCGGCAAGCGCATTGGTGAGGCGGCTTGTGGAGCTTTACTCCGCAGTGGCGGCTTCAGAGTTGGGGCTGCGATCGGCGACAATCGCGGAAGCGGAGGCGGCAATTTGCGCAACCTGGTGGAGCCGCTGAAGCAAGGCTCCACTTTGGTCAGGCGTTGACAGACGTGGTGGATGGGAGCCCGCTCTTGAGCAACCTCCTGCAGCGGGGCCGATCGAACCCGTACGGCAAGCAGAGGGGGTGCTGCCACGGGGAGGGAAAGATTGCTGGGCCTGAGCCCACGGCCGGTCCGTTTGCTGGCAGTTGGTGCAGGAGCGGGGAGCTCCCTGCCCCTGTCAAGGAGGTGTGTGCCTTACCGCGACTTTCGAGCTCACTCCTTACAAGTTTCACCTCCTGGAAGCGGGTGGGTGCCGAGTAGGAGCTTGCTTTGCGGGTGTTGTGGCAATCATGCTTCTGCAGAGGACCCAGCGCGAGTGGCTGCGCTAGCGAAAGAAGAAGTTGCTTGCGGGTGTATGGTGCTTGTTGCTTGGAGTGAGGCTGAGTTGCGCTGTAGGTACCGGGGGGCTCATTGGCGGCGGGCGTTGCGAAGCGCACCATGTTGGGCTGCGGAGGGCCAGTTAATGTACTTTGGAGCAGCCTGGTCCGCGTACTGGCAGGGGAGGCTATCAGCCTTGCTAATGCTGTTCGGGCATTTCACTATGCGTTGGGGTGCAGTGTGTGCGGACGATTTCCTGTTGCTTCTCCCTTGCGATGTGTGCTCGGGGTGCCTATCTCATGGAACACGCTGCGGCTGGGGGCACGCCTCAGCTATGTCGTTGACGGGCGACTCCTGGGTGTGCTTGATTTTGGGAACCATGCTTTTGCGTCCGCTACGGGTGCGCCGTGTTTCTTGGCTTGCTGATTTGGGCGACGCAAGTGGAGCTGGTCCTGCGGCCTTTCCTCGGGCCTTTATACCGCGTGCTGCGCTCCCGCACGCAAGAACTGCAGCGCTGCTCATTGGAGCAGCTCGAGGAACTGTCGAGGCTGCTTGACGGGCTGCAAACGCGAGGCGCGCTGACGCGCAACAGGGCTGGCGCCTGTTGGCAGCAGGCCAGCGCTGAGGCTCAGATCCTTGCAAAACGGGGGAAGCTGAGCGACGCTCTAAGCTGAAGAACGGTTGTGCTTGGTTGCGCTTTTTTGGTTGGGGGGGCCCCACGGTCAACTTGGGAGAGGAGTCGCAAGCGGCTTTGCAGGTCTTGCAGCGCGCCTTCTCCGAGGTGTGGGCAGGTGCAGGCGATGCTTGGGCAGGAGACGAAGTGGCTGGCCTTGGATGTTCCCCGGCAGTGATTTTCCGGTTTGATTTGGATTGCACGTGAGTGGCGTGGCTGCCTCGTGCTTGGAGTTGGCCCGAGACAATGCAGCGCGGCTGGAGTTGCTTGTTCAACTGGCTTTGGTGCAAGCCCAGACGAGCTTGCTGGGAGAGTGCCCCTTGCAAGTCAAGTTGCATCAGCGCAACATGGCGGTGGTAGGGTCTTTAGCCAAGGGTTGCGCACTAAATACCCTTCAGGAGTGAATGCTTGCTGCTGCTTCGCGCTTAGCAGTCTGATGCGACCTTGGTTTTGCTTTGTGGATGGCGCCCACAAGTGCCTTGAATAATTTTCCTGCGGCGCTGGGAGCCTGCGTTGGCTTGGGGGTAGGTGAGCACGGCTGGGGACAGCAGTTGTGTTGTGGATTGTTGTCCCCGGATAGAGAGGTCAGATTCTCATGGCTTGCCTTGAGCATTACACTCTCTATGGTAATTCAATAAGTTTGGCTACATGCTTGGCCATACAGTTGCACTGGTTGTCGGCTTAGGTACATGTGCAGCAGAGTCACCTGATTGCTTGCGCAACCACCGCCCCCCCCCCTACTAAGTGAGGATGGTAGGGCTGTTGTCCTTGTCTCCAAAGCAACAAGCCGTTCTGTGTTCATGGTTAACATACAGAGGGATACTACCAGTAGACCGATCAACTGTTGATTTGGGGAAATCCAGTGTCCTCTGTACGGGGTGTCATCACCCCTTACTTGGGGATGGCCGCATCGAGTCCACGCCTGTTGGATCTTTAGATCTGTAGGTTGCGCTTTTGGACTCAAAGGGGGGGCTTGGGGGGGGATAAGCCTAAGAAGGCAATTTTGGCAGGGCAGGGCTAAAGGAGCTACCCCCCCCCCAGTTTGCGTCCCTGAGCGGGGTCCATGATGGGTGTTTTGGCCGGGTTTCGCGGCCAGTTTTAAGAAATAAGCTCAGGTGATATTTCCAACCGCCCAAGCTTTCAGCTTTTGAAATTGGTGGAAAGGGACATCCATAAAAAGAGTTCACCTGGCCCCCGCCTTCCGAGGCTTGGGTTTGGTGCTGACCTGCAGGCGGCAAAGATGCCATCGTGGGTTGGCTTGGTGGATCGAGTTTGGCTTCCTAGGCTCCCTTGAGCCTCTTGACTTCCATTTGCTTAAGACTCTGTGTTCTTTGTTGCTGTTGGTTTTCAAGGCAACCGACCACTACTGCAAATATATGTTTATTTTCCAGGGAACTTAAGCAAATCGAGGTTGAACAGGAAGTTTGCGTGTGACCATTGAAACGTAGAACCAGACGTCAGTCATGATGGAAGCATCCAGTTTGTTTTAACTCTCGTGCTTTTGAAATTTGCATTCTGGGCATGTGTGTTGGTGATTTCTGTTGAGAACATACTATGTGATTCTCAAGACAGGTGGCCCGCTTGCCGGATTGCTGAACATCAACTGCTTTTCTTCGTTTGACTTGGGAGTCACCTTGGTCTTCCTTTTGCTTGAGTTGTTTTGTTTCGATTTGGATTTTCCCTCGTTTGTTTTCAAGGGCATCTATCACTACTTGAGTTTTGCTTGTCCAGGGAAACTTAAGCAAATGGAAGGTTTGGGGTGGGCATTTCGGCTCTGTTCTGAATTTCCACCTAAAACCCGGCACTTTGTGCAACCCATGTGTGAGGCCCAACGTTCGCCCATTTTTGGCACCCACAAAATCATGTTTTTGTCGGTAGGTGCCTCCACCTGGTTTTATGGGGTAAGGAGAGGGGACGAAAATTAGCGGGCGAAACAGGTGCTGCTCATTTAAAACTCGTCAGTTCATCCGCATTTGGTTGTGTCTTAACATGAGGAAACCCTAGTAGGTGCCCTCTGAAATCCATTTCAATCCACCCCAACATCGGTTCACCACGTTGAGGGGATGTGTCTTCAACCCAGAGCGTCCTCGTATTGTTTGATGTTTTTTCGGGGGTTGACCGGGGTCAACTAGGCAAGACTCCCGGGATTCCCGGGGGGGACCTAGGTACCCCGTGCATTTTTTGTTTACGCATTTTAAAGCGTGCGTCTTCGCACGCCAGGCCCAGGATGTTGAAAGCTGTGCTTGGGATGTGAATTGCGGTGCCTCGGCTATTGAAAGCTTGGCCTGGTTGAAAGCGACCTTTGGGATGTCGACAGCCGTGGCTGGGCGGTTGCTCGCTTTGGTTGGCTTTGCCTCTGTGTCTGGGATGTTGACAGCTGCGCCTGGGCTGTTGCGAGCTGTGCCTGTTCTGATGTTGATGGCTGTGCCTGTGCTGTTGACAGATGTCGACGGCCGTGGCTGGGCGGTTGCTCGTTTTGGATCTGGGATGTTGAAAGCTGCGCCTGGGCTGTTGCGAGCTGTGCCTGGGCTGGCCTGCGTTGTTCTGTTGACAGCTGTTCCTCGAATGTGCCTGCGCTCGTTGAAAGCTTCGCAGCCTGATGGCCGGATCGCGGCCGGATTGCGGCCGGATGGCAGCTGGATGTCGTTTGCTGGGTCGTGGCTGGATCAGTCAGATCGTGGCCGGATGTCGCCAGTGTGTGTGTGTGTGTGTGTGTGTGTGTGTGTGTTTGCGTGTGCATTTTCTAGTCGCTCAATGGGAAGCTCTCTTGCGCTCTTGTTTCAGACTTTAGTTCGTCTTGCTTTTCTGTTTATTGCGCAGCACACACACACAAAGACACCCTCATGTTTTTTTAGATGTGGGCCAGTTTGCTCTGGCGTGTTGGCTTGGTGGTTCAAATGTTTTCAACCAAGCAACCAACCAACCACCAAAGAGGGCACCGTCCAAACACAAAGGTTTGCGTTGGTGAGTTTGAGGCATTGCCTGGCGCAAATGTGGACACTAAAGACTGCCTCGATTTCGAGGAGGGGGGGGACCTTGAGAGTACATACGTATATATATATATATATATATATGGTCAACCCCCCCCCCCATGATCCACACCCCCATGTTGCAAACTAGAAAACATACAAAAAATGCAGGAAAGACACGTTTTTGTTCTTGTTTTTTGTTATTTTCCAGGTCCCCCACCCCTTATGAGTGGGGGATCTCCCGGGGCTCCGCGAACATCTTTCGCAGGCACCTTGGAATGGCCTCCAAGCTTCTCACCAGCGCGGCGCCTACTTGCCATTGAGCTCTCGCGTGAGTTGCGACGTTTTTTCCACCCCCCGAGGGTTTTTCTGGGTACCTGCTAAGGATGGCATTTGGAGGGTTCTAAGCACCTCCTCAAAAGGTACTTGCGTTTCTGCGTGAAACTGCATGAAATTCAAACTCGGCACAGCCTCCCCCGTTACGGGCTCTCTGAGTGAAATAGCATGACCCGATATTGTACCTATAAGTTTAGTGACCCACCATTTCTGATGGAGGATATAGTTGGTTGGTGACTGGAAACCTGTCCTTGGCTCGTTTGCTTGTTGTTGGCAGCATATAATATGACCAATGGCGGCCGTTTGGCGCCCTGAAACCTAGGTGGAACGTTCGCTCCATGGCCTTAGTTGGCCTCTGCTGATCTCAAACCAAATCCCCGAGATGGATCTCCATACTTTGCCCATCAGCGTACAGATAGGTTCCTTTTTGCTCTAGTTGATCTGCCTAAAATTCACAAATCCCCTGACCTTGATGGGACATCGCTCGTTTTATCGAAATGGAAGTGGACAGGGTCTCAAGAAGAAAGGCATCTTCCACAACCCTCTGAACGTCAGCTTCATGATTGTTGCAGGGAGGGTGACGGATACAGAACCAATCCTTTCATTTGCCAACTGATCCCTTTAGTTCATTTTACCAGAAAGCCTCGCCAGTTCTTGCCAGGATAGGACTAGCAGCATAAAGGGGTCTGGTCTTTCAGGGAAATGGGCAGATTTCGTAACGTTTCAGTTTCCACTTGAGCCATAATCAAACCTGGGAATTCAAGAACCCAACACCCATGGTGGAGAATCAAAAGGCGGATATCCGCACTTTCTTCTGGCCCGATTCTTCATCTACCCGGAGGGTTCCCTTCCATGAAAAGCACTGTATTAACATAGCGACTTCGAGGGATTTGGTTTACATCCCATCCCCACCCCCGATGATTTTTTTCTTGTGGGGTCCCTTGTTTTAATCACGTGGGTGAAAGATGAGAGTCCTGTGCGATCCTCTTGAGCAGGGTTGTGGGATCAAGGGGTTTGTCCCCACTTCTGTGATATGCGAATCTCCCCCTTTAAAAGGGGGGGTTGAACGTCTTTGGGTTTGGCCCTTTTTGTTGCATCACAGAAGTGGGTTCCATTTCCCATTGCCCTGTCCTTGAGGGTCCAAGTGGGTGTGTCTTAAAATAGGGGAGGTTTCCCTTTGGTTTCGCTTTGAATCGGCTTCAAAAGAGGTACCACCAAAAAAAGACACCCCCAAGTATTTGTCAGTGTGCAAATGGACGAATGAACAGCAATTGGGAGGCCCTACATGGGGCAGACTGCGCCCTCTACAGGGATGATAGGCTGGGGTGTTGGGTGCTGACTGACGGTATCTCTGACCCTTTTTGGGGGGTTGGTAGAGATATGGTAGAGATATGGTAGAGATATGGTAGAGATATGGTAGAGATGTTGGTAGTATTTGGTCTGCCTCTCAATCGAGGTGCTAGACAACTATTGTTCCCGGGTTGAGGGATCCATGATCATGGCCCACAGGAGCTTCGACCATGGAAGATATGGCGCAATGTCACACGGGAAACAGCAACCCGTGTTCTTTGTTGCATTTTGCTGGGATGTTAGGACTTTAACTGTTTGCCAACTCATGGGTTTTCCATCAAACCGCTAAAAGTTAGACTTTGGCAGGGGAGCAGAAAGCAACCGAGGATTGAATGGTTGGAAAAGGAGCTAAAAGGAAATCAAACACCTGGAAGTGTGTCTAATTTTGAGGACCCTCCAAAACTGGGGACCCTCCAAAGTGACAACGGTTTGCTTTTGGTTTCCATTAAGCAACCAACCCAGTTTCTTTGTTTTGGTTGTTACCCAAAAAGCAAGACAAGACCCATACAATGTCCGGTGTTTCCTTTTCAACCAACCCTGTTTTGTTTGCTACCCCACTCCCCCCTCCCCCCCAAAAAACAATAAAACAAATAACATAAAATAACTAAATCAAGAACACCCCCCCCCAACAAAAAAACAAGAAGGACCCATAGAATCTTTGGTTCTGCACTATGACTTGGTGCATTGCTCTCTTGAGCTCGTCCCGGGGCACGGCTTGCCGATGGCAAGCTGACAGGTTGTTTGACATGAGAGAAACGGGAAGTTTGCTTTTGGTGTTCTGCGGGTGAAAGATTTACATTTATAAGAAGTTCCTTTTGTTTTTTGGAGGCTACCCTCCCACCAACTAACATGGAACCTCCATTTTCCTTTTAAAGGGAACCCCTGTCGGGTTCCATGTTAGTTGGTGGGAGGCTACTGAACTAAACTTAATTAAATTTGATATTTCTCTGCAGGGAATGAGGGAATGACCCCCCGTAAACCATTCCCTACGGTGCCCTTTAAGGGAATCCGCAAACGGTTGATTCCCAACACCCCTGACTCGGTCATTCCCTACCTATCGCACCAGCAAGACTAAACAACCCCATAACTTCGGTGTGTTTTGCCTTTTCAAAGCAACTAATTGATATCACGCCCTGACCAAACAGGAGAGGTATTTAGAGTTTGCCATGGAACAACATACAGTACTCGCAACATATGCCCTGAACAACGTGTGTATCGTGAGTAGGGGGGATGGTTTCTCAAATTAAGGGACCGCCAACAGGGTTCATGTCCGTTTGGTTTCCTAATCGCCCAAAACGAGTACCGTCAAAAGGTAGCACCCAGATGAGTCACAATCAAAACCCGGTATTAAAATGGTCTACCATGTCTACCCAGAACCATGTAAAGAATTAAGAAGGCGGATCTCCGCAGCTATTTATGGCAAGGGGATTGTCCCTTACTAACCTTCATCTACCCGAATCGGTTTTGGGCAGGTGGCTCAGATGGGATCATACCAATTTCCAAAGTGAGTGCCAGGACAGAACCCGGTTTTCCGTTGCGAGTAACTTGGCCAGACCTCGGGTGAATCAGCTGTGATCCTCTTTGGGCTGTTCCCTTTTCGCCCACTCAAGGCAGTCCCTTTGCCGTAAGGGTTTTTAACGGCGTCTCGGATTTTGTGCTGCTTTCTTGTTGCAGAACTACGCAGCGGAACGCGGCTGGTGATTGCTATTGTTCTCCAGAGAGAGTTTGTTTGAAAGGTTGTCCCATGGGTAGAGGTAGATCATGGTAGAAGACGTTTGGCACGTTACTAGTGACTAAAGGTGAACCAAACACTGGAATGTACCCCCTGCTCACAATGTTCACTCTTTGTTGGGTGCATGTTGACAAATCCGGTTTCGGGTCAAACCCTGAAAAACAATGTATTTGCAATGGGGACATCCAAAACTGGGGGTCCCCTTTGACACATACCCATATGACCCATAAGGCTATGTGTTTTTTTTTTAAGGGACTCCTTGGGGTTCCCTACTTCAATTCAACGCCATATATCATTCACCGGAATTTCAGGCTCAGATCAGTAGGTTTTTTTTGATCAGGAGGGTTTCCAAACACGAATTTGCTCATTGACAACATATTGATGCAAAATATATTGTCATCTTCCTCAGAACAATGAGATAATATTATCTTTCTCAAGTCAAGCATTATTTTCATACAGTAAGTGTCTAGCGTCTTTTAGTTGAATCATCATCTTTTCCAGCTATATTCCGCCAGGCTTTGCCCCCTTCACGCAGCCGCTGCCAAGCCAAGGCCTGCGGAATCCTTCTATAGCCGCGCTAGGTCTTCTTTTGAGGGTACCCCGCCCCTTGTTGTTTTTGTCGTTGTGTGTGTTTTTTGGGGTCTTTCTTTATTTTTTCTTTTTTTTTTTGTTGGGGGGGAGGGGGAGGGCTCTGATAAAATGAAATAGGGTCTGCCTGGGTCAGTATTTGTTTTTGGAGTTGCCCCTTTTTTGGCAGGTTTCGAAGGGAGACCAAAGGAACAGCCGAAGCCATGTTGGGGGTCCGGTTCCTAAAAATCGACACGCATATTGGGACATGGGACTGGGTTCCGAAGACCTTTTGTCATGTTAAGAAGGAGGGTGTCCCTTCAAAACCTTCACTCTTGGCGTGTTTGTAGGTGTTTTTTTGTTGTATTTGTGTTTGGTTTGTTCATGTTTAGTAGGGTGCTGCGAAAAGGCTTTGCTTTGCTGCTACCATGGCAAGGGTTGGAAAGAAACAGACTACCGAAACTTTGTTGATGCATATTCAAGGGTAGGTTGTTACACTGTTGCGGTTTCCTGTAGTGTTGACCCCGAATTAATACACCCGTCCTGTTTCATAGGGAGTGTTCCCTTCAGAATTGATGGACAAATCAAACACGAGAAAGCAACAGCCCTGTATTGCTCAACCGGGGGTTTTATTCATCCGAGGTTTCCATCAGGTTGTTTTGATTTCCCTTTGTCTCTCTGAGGTCAAAGTGAAAGCTGGCAGAATTCCCGGTAGTGCGTACGGGGATGACTGAACTAACACCTGGGCGCCAACTGTCGCCCGAATGTAGGTTGATTTTTGGGTTTCCTTTCCTTTGCCCCATGTCTGGTTCCTTTACCTTGGGGCAGGCTCGAACAATTGCAGCCCAAGGTTAACCCCGGATTAGTAAACTCCTGGTTGATGAATAGGGGGGTGCCCCCTTTTAGTGGGGATTCAGACCACTTTTGGAGGGAACACCACCTTCATACTGGGCAGGGCTCCTTAAAAGATACATTTTACAACCATTTGAAACATGTTTCTTTTTCAACACCAAAAGAAAGGTTGAACCCACCAGAAAACAAGTTGCAATGTTCAGGTGTTTTTCATGTAAGGATCCCTGCTGGGACGGGTTCTACTTAGATCCTTCAACATTCCCCACTCCCCCTTCTTCAGGTTGCACAACGTCCCCATTGCATTCCACGCGCGCGCACCTCGCGCGCAACGCGCAACTCGACTCTTCTGGCGCTCGCAGGGCCCTTCACCTTCCACGGACCTGGGCGGGGCCAGCAACCCATGACCCAGGCGTGAGGTGATTGTCGTAAGTGTATTTTTTGGCGGATGGAGGCATCAAATTCCGCCTGTCTTTTGTAGCGTTATGCTCACCGAGGCGGGGGTATATAATTATGCGAAAAGCCGTAAGAAAGGTCCTTTGCTTGGGAATCCATTCTTAATTCAGTATATATTGGGAATTGTAGTGAAGTACAGTTCATCAAAGGCCCTTGCTGGAGGTTGAGTTTTCGTTGGAAGTCCGAAGGTTCGAGGATACTGCACAAAGGCGCAAGTATTCTGCCAGGAAATGAGGGGGTCCCCCCCTTTTTTTCGATGAGCACTGAAGGGACTTATAGTCACGTGGCCACAACTTGGTCACATGAATCCTCAAATCGTTGACTACCCTACAGGAAGCTTCTAACCATTCTCTCCAGGAATCCTTCTTTTCAAGAAACTTCAAAAAAGAAAAGCACCGGGAAACGGCTAGTTTTTGAAATAAGGAGCGTTGAAAAGAACGGGGAATGCACCCCTAAAGTGTAAACATGTGGAATCCCAAAGGGCAAAAGGACTGAAGGTTGCACATAGGGTAGCGCGCAAGGAAAAAATATCAAAGGCCGAATGTACATGTCCACATGCTGTTGTTCTTCCTGGAAACTTGGAAAGCCGAAACCAATCTTGGGCGTGCCACCCGAGTCTAGGCGCCAACCACAACTAGGAACCTAAAGGAGCACCACAGTCGGACAAACCCAACTAGGTCCCCCAGGATCGTGCCCTTGTACCGTTTCTTTTTTGGAGGAGGGTTCCCCTACTAAAATCGACTACAGAAAAAAGGGTACTCTTATTCTAACCTCTCTACTGGAAGACCTAACCAATCATTATTATTTGCTCTGTTCGCCTTGGGCCTTTCGGGCAAAGGTGCCTTTTTGGGCCTAAGGGCAACGTGTGTTGAGTGGATGCGGCAACAAGGCAACAATCCCTACTAGGTCCCCCAGCTAGGTGCCCTGTCTTTTACTCACTTTTTTGGGTGGGAGGGTTCCCCTACTAAAAAAGACAAAAAGGGAAAGCAATCGGGCACCCTTATTCCAGCTTCTCAAATCTGGAGGACCTAGCCTAGCTAAAAGTTACCCTTCCCACTAACACGGCGCCTGACCGGCCGGTTTGAGGAGATTGATCTTCCAGGTCCCACAAATGCCTCATGTTAGTGGGAGGGGTAACTTCTTCCCCATTCTTTCCAGGCATCCTTCTTTCTAGAAAACTACAAAAAACCCTGGGGAAATGGCGATCGGTTTTCGAAAAGAACGACGGCTGAAAAGAATGGGGAATCAACCCCGAGATTAGTGGGAGGAAGGGTAAGCTTTGGGCTATGACAATCAATCACTCCGAACATCACGCTGGGTGCTAACCACCAGGTTGGCGGTTCCCTGGTTGGCGGTTGCCTGGATGAAAATCTTACCCAGAGAGTCCCCTTTGAATCCCCCCCCAAAAAAAAACAAAAGAACAGCCAGGTTTCAGTCGTTTCAGGGTGCCCTTGTTTGGGTGCTTTGAAAGGGACGCCAGAATCTCTGATGATTTCCAATTCCCCCAAACTGGCTGCATGTGACATTCAACCACTTCCTAGCCACGTCAAGGGTATGTCCGGCTTTGATGGTAAAATTTATGGTTCCAGCTTGTCTACGATGAACAAAGAAGATTGCTCAATCCCTCACTTCCTGAGTTCATGGACTTTAGTAACTTCTTGGGAAGGACAAACAAACAGTTCGGACATGTATTTTTGGGCCAATTCACTCAGGAGGTGAGATCCACAGCCCGTTCCCAAAGCCCCCCCCCCATGAAAAGAATGGTTCTGGGGGACCCAATTTGGATGAGGATAATTCTGTAAATGGTGGTGAAATATGAACCAAACCATTGTTTCAATGGTGGTTTGAACCTGGTTATATGAACCCAACCATGATTTTAATGGTGGCCTGCCTGAACCCACTGTTTTTGTCTTACTTCCATTTCCTGAAGTGTGTTTCTTCCTTTTCCCCTGGTTTTAAAGTTGGAATCAGTTTCACTGCACATATGTTCTCCAGCAGTTCCTCATATTTTGTCCAGTGGACAAAGCCAATGGTTTTTGGGGTCCACCTGGGACTCCGGGGAAGCACTCTGGTCTTCCAGGAACCGCCTGCCACTTTTTTCGCCAGGCCTCGGCCTTGTCCTCGGGCTCGCTGGATGCGGGGCACCTCAAAAGCGTGCCGCGTTGAGCCTCGGGAGGCTATGTTCCTTTCGAGTCTTTAGAGAGAGACCAAGGGGTCTTGGTGGTATGCAAATGGTTTCTTCCATTTGCTGAAATGCTTGGATCTTTTCCTGGTCTTCAAATACTTCACTGTTCTTGGCATGTTTTAGTTGTTGTGTTTTTAGTGTGTTGGCTCTGTTCATGTTTACTGGTGGCGGCTTTAACTTCCATTTGCTGAAATTGATATATGTGTTGTTTTCCCCGGTTTGCAAAGGAATCGATTTGACTACTGGACATATTTCCTCGTTTTTTCTACGTGGCGTATTCGCAAACGGAAGTTTTCCTTGTCCCTAAAGGGTTCCCTCTAGCTGGGAATGCACCGGGCTTCACGGGGCAGTTGGGTGAAAGTAGATGGCACTTCCCCCATTGATTGAGTCATCTCCTTTGACATGTGACATGTTCACTTTCGCCCTTGCCTGAAACATGGTATCAGTAGGGTTCAACCCCCATTAAAAATAATGGTTGACCCAATTTCAATGGTGGTTATATTCGCCCCCATCGTTTGAATGGTGGTTTGAACCGCAGGGGTATGTTTTGGCCGGGGTTTGAGGGTTTCACCTTTGTGGGGGAGTCCTCTCAGTGAACTTTCTTTACTTTAGCAGGGAATAAGTTTGGCCAGCGCAGCTTCCATTCGCCATTTCTCTGGGGCCTTCAGGCCAAGCGCTTCCCCGGGCAACAGCGGCTCTCCTTACAGCGTTGCTGTTGCCGGAGCGAGGTGTCCGCGAAGATATGGCTGTGGGTCAAAACCGTTTTGGGATCCCATTTTGGTTGGTACCACCCATTTTAGAATCATTTTGGGGTGGGTGCACCACCCATTTCAGTCTATTATAGTGGGGATTGGGATGCTAGGCTTCCTATTTTAGTGGTTGGATTGAATCGGTGCCGATTTGGATTTTGACCCATGGCCTCATGGAGCGCACCTTGGGGGGCTCCTGAAGCATGCCGCGTTGCACCCAGCTCGCGGCTGGAGGAGCACCGTGGCCTCAGAGCTGACTCGCGCGGCTGAGGGATTCACCTCCCAGAGAGTCATGCCCTGGAGCTACCTTGCAAGGGCCGCCACTGCTGCTGAATTCGGGTTCCCAGACCCCCAGTGACGCCCTTTTATCTTCTTGAGCTTTTGGGGGCGGATGTCCCTTTAACATCACGCAACAAACAAAACTCACTTGTCCAAAACGAATCGAGTTTTCACCTTTTGGTTTGCCTTGTTTGGTCTATTTGTACTTCGTGGCATTTTGCCAAGGGCTGTTGGGACTTTAACTGTTTGCCAACTAATGGGTTTTCCGTATTTAAGCCACAAAAAGTTGAACACTTTTAGCAGGGGAGAGCCAACGAGACATCTTTGGCTCGGACTTTTTGATGCCCCAAGATTCATAGCACTTCGAAGGGCCCAAGCCGCTGGTGTTGGCTGGGTGAAAAAATACACACACTCGCTTGCATAGGTCCCTTTTTGGTTGTTTTGCTAGAAACATATAATGGGTTTCGATTCCTGGTTTAGCTGGTGGTTTTTTCTCATCTACCAGGGAAATCCATCTATTCCCCCAAGGACACCAATGCTCGCTTGTGAAAATCCGCAGGCCTGGGCCTGAAAGGGCCTTTCGGAAAGGCCACCGAACAGCCAGCCAGAAATCGCTCATTGGATGTGGCGACGGTAAGAGGCAATCCTGTTCCAGCTCTAGGCTGTGGCTCAAATAAGTGGTACCATGTTTTGGGGCCCTTGGATGGGAAAAAGACCAAAACCTGCGTAACCCGAGCTCTTTAATTTTGAGCCACACCCATTTGGGAAAAGGAAAGGGCACTAGGCTCAGGAGACAGGTAAACGATGTCGCGCCTAAGATAAGCTACCCCAGGAGACTGGTTCGACCTGTGTGGCCCAATGCAAGTGGCGGATGACCAATGTCCGGGCACTCCAGACCAGAATTGATTCCGTGGCAACTCATCATTCGTCAAGAGCCTTCGGAGATGAGTTGAGGAACTGACAGGTTTTTGAATGAAATTCCACGTGCCCAAAGCGAGTGGTCTCAATCTGAGCCAGTCTTAGTCGTCAAGGCAAGGGTATACTGTATACTCTTTCAGGGTTTCATTGTGGGGATTCACATGTTTTTAGTGGTTTATTGCTTATTCAGTATATATATATATATACATATATATATATATATATATTTCTGCGGGATAGAAAACAACTGTGGGTTGACGTCACCGTTCTTGGCATGTGTGTTTAGCTTTGTTGATGATTTGGTTCTCTTCATGGGCTGCAAGGAAGTCCGTTTGCCAACATACCAAAGGTTGGGAAGTTGAGTCTGCCTTGGTTGGCTTCCAAATGGACTCCTGGGTTTAATTCATGGTGGGCATGGAAGAGAAAGCGTATCTTTGGCTGGGAGCGGGAAGGGCAAACGTTGATTTCGCGCCATGCGTGGACCCACAGAGCTCTGATGTGTTTGTGGATTCCGCCAACCCCCCCGTTGGTGCCAGAGGGCATCTTTGGAGGAGGTAACTACCGAACCTCCCCTTTTTGTACCCCCCGAAAAAAAAACACGCCATCCGTACCCTCACTCCCACTAGCATGGAACCTGACAGGGGATCCCTACAAGAGGAACATGATCTTCCAGGTAGCCTCTTACAGGTGCTATGTTAGTGGAAGGGAGGACAGATCGGTTACTCTTGTTTGGCACGTTCTGTTCGTGGTTGTTTTTCACAAAAGAACGATGTTCTAACAAGCATCGGCTACCAACTTGTTTGGTTGGTGGAATTTTGCGGGAGCTGCGCTTCAGGCTTCTACAAAAAGGATCCACTGGACTGCCCCGGGGTCGGGCCCGAGACTTGTCGACAGGTTACAAGCAGCTCAGTGCCACAGATGCCCCGGCCTCGGGCTGGATGCAATGTTGGGGTCTCCGATCGACGAAACATGGGTGGCTTGGTGGCTCCCAGCCATCCGGTTCCTTAACCTTTTAGCTAATCAGTGTTTAGTGGGGTGTTCCATTTAGCCCACTAAAAGTTAAACTTTCAGTGGGGGAGCTGAGGACGTGGTGTTCAAGTCAGGATTGCGGGCGGCTGCATCTTTTGGAGCTCTAGCCCGCCTGGAGCGGGCCAAGATCAATCCTCCATGCGCAGGGCGAAATTTTCCCGAAATTTTCGCCTGTGGAGCTTAAGAGATTGCCCTCGGGAAATGGTGAGGTTGGAGGGCTTGTGCTTGTCTTACACTCAGTTGTTCAGTGGCACCGAGTCTCTTTTTCCTTTTTTTTTGTTGGTGGCTGCCCCACTAAAAATGGTCTTCACTAAGAAGGGTTCCCTTTTCTCCAGGGTCACTGAAGAACTGAGTACAGGAAGGCGGCCACGGAAGGCCATATCGCGGGGAGCGCTCATGCCGCCGGGAAACGCAAAGGAACATCCTTCTGGAGACACCATAGACTCAATCAGGTTGCCCTTGCGGTTTGGATTGAGCGCGGAGTCGAAGCAGGGACCCCAAACAAAGTGAATATATTCCACTCAGACCCTCGCCATGGTTTTGGATCTGAGCCCCTGGTTCTTGAGGGTCAGTGGAAAACCGCCTTGGCCCATCCAAGCCAATTCGAGCTGTGGTCAGTGGCCAGGGGCCCTGAAAAACCGTCGCCGCGCCCTTTTGGGTCAACGGTTTCGGCTGGTCCATTGCTCACAGGTCTCGGACATGTGTGGCTTGCAGCTTGCAGCTTTCAATCATGGCCAATAGGCACCCTTGGTGGTTTGCTCTTGTGGTTTGGACGGGGGCCACAAACCACCAATTAAGGGGAAGCTGTGGTTGAGATCTTGTCATGAAACTCTCAACTTGAGGAGATGCTCTGGGATGCGGCCTCCACGCACACTTTTGAGCCACTTTCTGTGTTACCCTGAGAGGTTTCCTTTAAAGCCTTGTGTCCGGACTCTTGTGGAACGACTGCCATTTCTCATTCTTGCATGCTTGGTGACCTATGACAAAGTGTTCATGGAGATGGAACTCCTAACATTTCAGATAACCGTGAATTGGTGGTTTCAATTGGTGGTTTGGGGATTTAAACCACCAACGAAGTAGGGGATCCCCGCCCCCTTAAGAATGGAATTGGGGGAGGCGGTCACCTTTTTCCAAGTTTCCCTTTTGCGGGGAAGATTAGGAAAATGGAACTGGGGGACCCCCACGCCCTCCCCCTTAAGGTAGGAGGGGAAGGTAGGAGGGGATTCGAGGGGGAAGCTGAACTTTGACATCATGGATTCAGCCCGAATTTTCTTGAGAGATAACAGAAGCCTTATTTGCAGCACCCCCAAAACCACTGCTGTTTGGACAGGACTTGGGATTTTGGACATGGGAAAAAGCAGTTGGGGGTTGCTGGGATTGGGACTTACACAAGTGAGGGAGGTCAATTCCTTTTGTGTCGAAGCCTCCAGTTTGGTTCAGCGGTTCTTGCTTCTCTGAAAGCCGACACTGGCACGGATCCTCAACTTAAACGGTTGAATTGGTAAGATCTTAGTTTGTGCCAGTTCTAGTTGGAGTTAGAATTTAAGATCTAGAGTTTATTCAGTTACTTGCCTCAGTTCACCATGATTGCGAACCTATTCACATGAGTATGGTGACACCACCATGACAAATGAGGTACAAAGTGGCCTTCAAATATTACGTGTACACAACAGTACTGTGAACAAAACAAACATGTTCTTTCATTTATTTGTTTAAAGGAAATTGAAGCATTCGTGTTATTAATAATGCATTCTGATTTTTGTCTGATTTGGGTCATGCTGGGTTTCAGTTGAGTATCTCGGGTCTGTGGTTGCGGGTGAGTGAAGATCGGAATCCCCCGTCCAGTACCAGAGCCACTTTCATCAGGACTGTTCCTTCAGAACCTTGTCGGGCCTTCATTTTTTTCTCCTAAAGTTCCTCAAGGTGATCTCTGCTTGGTTTCTTTGGGATGTGGCTGTGGGTCAAAACCAATGGTACCATTTTAGGGTAGCTGCACCACCCATTTTCTTCTATTTTAGTGGGGATTGTACGGAATTTTGACCCATGGCCATGTTAATTTGCGGGGACTAGAATTCGGCCGGGCAACAGTGACTTGTTGTTTGAGCTTAGGAGCTTGGGCTTTGGCTACGCTAGGGTCCGAATGGGACTTTCTCAAAATCCTCCCGCTTTTTTGCGTGAACAAAAAGGACACCAAGCATGGAGGGGACCCCTATTTTGAGAAGCTCCCAAATAAATAACGCATGGTTGTGACGTAACAAACAATGTTTGAGAGGGGAAGATAATTACGTCCTTCTATCTACCATTACCTCATCCCAGTCTGGAGATGGGATAGTTTCAGGATGGTTTTAAACAAAATGATCTCCTTCAGGATCATGCATGGTTGTGACGCAGCACAGATTTTGCTTTAAGGATGGTGTTTAGGGCCGTCCATGGCTCCTTGTTTTATTTTCCCCTGGTTTAAAAAGGAGTCGATTTCACTACTGGACATGGTTTTACACTCTTTCACGTTTTCCAGTGGACGAACAAGCCAATGGTTTTAGGGTGCACTTGGGACTTCAGCAAACAGGCAGAAGGAAAAGCAATTGATCTGGGTCTTTGCCCCAGTAGGGTTCTGGTAGTAGATTGAGAATTCGGTAAGCTTCTGGTATAGAGACCCAATTCAATGGGCCAAAGACCCATCCCCTGAACCCTAGAATCCTGCCAACCAAAAATGACTCCCTGTAGAACCCCCAGCCCGCCCTCCCCCTGCGCAGCAGCACAGCGAGCTGCCCAAGAAAACGAAACCGAGACGAGAGCCGAGGCCGACGACGCTGCCAACTTCCGTCTCCTCGGCCGCTCCGGTGCCTCCCCCGCAGAGCGGGTGCTGGGGTGCTGGGGTGCTGGGGCGCTCTGTCTCTGTTTTCGGCAGCGTTTTTAAGGAAGACCACCAGGAAAGCCTGTGAGAAATTTTGGGGGGGTCTGTCTTTTTGGTGGCTTCAAAGTCTTTTGGTGGGATTTATGCGGGGTTTCGTTTTGATGGCAGGATTGAAGCGACCCTTTTATGCCATCAAAGTGACAAATTCCACCGAACACATCAAGATAAAGATGGAACACAATCATGTGCCATCACGACAGACCCCCTATAAAGGAGAACCAAAAGAAGAAAGGGGCTCACATCCCCACCCCCTCAACGGGTGGAGGGAGGGCGTACGTCAAGAATAAGGGGAAGGTACTTCAAAGGGTCAACACGTCAACCCGGGCTTTATCTTTTTTTGTTGGAGGCTTTTCCACTAAAAGCGGTCAACCCCAAACGGGTTCCCTTTCTCTACAAAACATTTGTACAACGAGCTGTGGGTGAAAATGGGCTCTCTCATGAATGCCCCTTGGGGCTTATCTTATCTTAGATTAATGAAATTATTGTGTGAATGTTCTTTACTAGGGGGAGCCAGGATTTGACGTGAGTTCATCGCAAGTAGATCCTAGTTGCTCCACTAGGGAACCCTGATGTGTTCTTGTTCCTCTTGCTGAAAGGGCTGCTTGTGTCTTTCTTTTGGACAAGGGCTGCTCACCAAAGACTGGAATTTGTCTAGCATTGGGAAGGGAAGTCCGGCCAGAGAAAAGCTCCTTCCCCAGCCCAACTAATAGAAAACTTAACTGCTATTGGGTGGGATCTTTAGACTTTATTTGTTTGCAGAAATAAAGGTGTTTGCCACTAACCCCCCAAAAAGTTGATTTTTTTTGCAGGGGGGTCAACAGCAACCAAGAAAAGAAAGGGCTGGGAGAAGGCCGTCCCTTCACCTCATTCATGCCGGCCAGGAGGGGACTAGTGAAGGCAGGTGAGAGAAAGGGATGTCACTCACTGGGGGGGGCGGGGCGTCCGCGTTCCCCGAGCGGGGGAGGGCGGCTCAATCGGTTCGCAGGGCGAGAGGTCGCAGAAGCGGTCGAAGCTGTGCAAGCAGGCGGGAGAGTGCAGTGTCCGGTAAGCAGGTCTAGGTCCTTTTGAGACCACAGAAAAGGGTACCCTTATTCTGTCCTATCTACTGGAGGACCTAGTCTCCATGGAGGTCCTGACCATAGGGTGTCCTGTTTGGGTTGGTTTGGTTGAAGATGAACCGCCTTGGTTTCAGTTTGGTTCTAAACATCTAGCGCCATCTGTTTTTCCAAAACAACACCTATCGTAACACAAGGCCCCTGAAAAGGGTCCTTTCTGATGCTATCGGGCGGCGGCTAGCAGCTTTACCCTTCTTTCAAAAGTCTCCGTCAGACGACGGCTGTCTTGGGCCAGGACTTTGAACCAGTCCCCTTAGGGAATCCAGGGACTGCAGAAGAGGGTCAAGGTGCCTTGTGGGGGGCCTTCCCCGGCCTTTCTTGCTTCAGATGGGGAACTCCGACATGAGCCACATGAAGGTCAGGGACAATCCCCTTGCCATAAATAGCTGCGGATATCCGCCTTTGTATTTCCTTACATGGTTCTGGGTCAAGCATTTTAATACCGGGTTTTGATTGTCACTCACATGGTTTTGCTTCAAACTTCCGGCTTTCCTGCGTCCAAACAAAGCAAACTCGATGCTTTTGCACTGGACAGGGAATGGGTTTGTGTCGCGAAACCGCTTTTGGGTCTGGGTAGAAAGAATGCTCGATGGGGTGCTTTTGTTACTTGGGTGTACCCTCGTGTTTTTTTTTGTGGTTTTAGAGGACACGCACCAGGAGACCCCGCCATTTGGGTGTTAGAAGACCAGCAACTTGGAAGACCGTGGCGCCATTTTGGTCGAAACTTGAGGCCAGCGAGCCCTGTCCAAGCAACTCGAATTTGTTGACCCAGGATCTAAGTGGAGCCCGTCCCATTGTTAGGGGGGTGGAAACCCCTCCAAAAGTGGTCTGAATCCAACCACTAAAAGGAATTGGACACCCCCCGATCAACCAGGGGTTCTGCTTAATCCGGGGTCAACATTTAGTTCCACCTTGGGCCTTTCAAGCGCAGCCTTGCTAACGACTAGCACCTTGCAGGTGGCTGGGCTGACTCTAAGATGGTGTCCCAACCGAAGCCATGCCGTAATTTTAGGTCTTTTGTTTTCATGGGAGATACGGCTACTGGTAGCTTCGGTTTTTGGGGAGGATGGAAACCATCCTAGACCTAGGATGGTTTCTTACTTGGGGAGTGCAATCCTTGTTCCCGGTGGCTTTCTTGGAGAGTCCAAGTTGTTCAAACCAGGTTGCGGTTTGCCCAAATTTGGTTGAGCCGCGAGCATCCTGCCGATGAAGGTCCTTTGGGGAGGTTCTTCATTTCCCCTTTTGGTTGGGGATCCACATTGCAGGCCGAGTTTCACCGGTACTCCTCTAACCAATGCAGTCTAGGTCCCCCAGTGGTGCCCGTTACGCTTTTTTTGGGGAGGGTTCCCCTAAAATCGACTACAGAAAAAAAATCGGGCACCCTTATTCTAACCTCTCTACTGGAGGACCTAGTCAAACCTCCTTTTGGCTTTCCCTTAGTCTTACCTAGCAGTGGTTGGGTTGGTGTCATCATGACCCCAGTCCGGAATCCGCTCTGACCAGCGGACTCCACGTGCCTCTTGTTCGTTTGAAACCATGCAAGGGCCCAACAAGTTTTTGGACCACGCGGGTTTTTACATGTCGGGCTTGACTCCAGTGTCTTGGTGACTCAACCAGCCATCCGATTCCTTAGCTTTTTAGCCTTTTAGTTGGTTTAGTTGTTGGGTTTCCATATTTAGCCCACCAAAAGTTAGGCACTTTTAGCGGAAAATCCGAGGACAGCACTCCGGTGTGTTTTTCAAATCATGTGGATATCTCCGACTCGCAGCCCATTTCGCCTGAAGCTGGTTATCCCTCACTTTTCGCCACCCAGGTCTCCCAGCTAGGTGCCCTTTCTCACCCCTTTTTTTTGTTGGGAGGGTTCCCCTACTGAAATAGACTACAGAAAAAAAGTTGGTACCCTTATTCTAACCTCCCAAATCTGGAGGACCTAGCCACAGTTTAGCTTTGAATTGCCAGGGTGAGTCGGAGAGGTTTCCTTCGACATATGGCGATTCCCCACTCAGCCCTGTGTTACGGAGGTGACCTTTTGGGTGGAATACAGCATGAGCAACAGAAGTACCAAATCGTACCAAAACGACTCTCCTATGATTAATGACTTAAATTGATTTGATTCTATGTGGTAAGGTGTTTATCATGCGATACACCGCTTTAGTTGGATACATCCACCCATACTTGTGTCTGTGTGTGTGTTCTTCTGGGGGCATTGTTTTCGGGCTTGGTTTCAACGGAAGCCAACAGGCAAAAACAACAGGTGCGTTTTCAGAAGATGGTGACATAGCCATTCAGACCATTCAGGGTTCCACTTTTTGACTGCTCGGGTTCCAGCGGTTTTCCTTTGGGGGACATCAACCACCCCTGGGTTTAAGTCTATCTTTGGGGTAGTCAAAAAGTGGAATCCTGTACCCATTCTAGGTCTCCCAGTAGTGCCCTTTTACCCGTTTTTGGGGGAGGGTTCCCCTGCTAAAGCATACTACAGAAAGAAAGGGCACCCTTATTCTAACCTCTCAAATCTGGAGGACCTAGCATTTTTGTCCGCAGTCCGTGGATGTTGTCCCCGAAGACGCTCGGCGCGTTCAGGCCTTCGACTTTGTGGATGCCTTGAGGAGATTCGGATGTCTGTGAGCTCTGGAGCTCTGACGTCCCAAAAGCAGAAACTCCCCTCCCAGAAGCTTCCAGTGGCCGATGGTTACTTTCCCCTCGGGACTAAAGGCAATCTATCGCTGGACGGGGCTCAAGCACATGGACGGGGAGGTTGGGGGCCCTGCTTGCAACTGCTTTTCTCTTCATGTCCAAAATTCGCAAGCAAGGTAACCAAAAAGCAGTCGTTGCGGGGTGCTGGCCTCTGAAAACTGTTTTTTTCGAGGGTCCAGGTTAATTTGGGGATACGCTTGGCCGCCAAATGGTTTTGTTGTGGTGGTTATAAGCCTCCTAAATTTTTGAGTTTTATGCAGTTGCTCTATAGCCAACTGAAAGGCGGCCATGGGATGTTCTCTCCAAACCACAAGTATCCCCGCTGAAGTGGCACACAAGCAGAGGCTGAACCATGCCACTTCGACCTCTGTGGGCCTCGTGCAGCCCCAGTCAGCTCGCACCCCCCCCCCCCCGGCTTATTCCGCGCGACTGGAGGTGATCTAGAGAAACTAAAGAAGATCCTGGAAGACGGCGGCAAAGACGGAAAACCAAAAGGGGAAAGGGAAAGATGCATCTTAACACTGGTGTCTGTTTTTTGGTTGTTCTGCTAAAAGTGACGAACTTTCACTGGGGAAAAATACGGAAACCCAACCCCGACACAAGCGAGAAAAAAAAGGAAAAGGGGATGGCTCGGAGACACCAAGAAAAGCGTGCTCAAAACTGCCTCGCCGGCGCTTCAATGACTTGCGAAGATCTTTGCATGCATTTTTGTTTAGCGCCCGCGCATGACGAAAGCAGTGGCAAAAAACTGAGACACCCAAGCCTCCCTTTAATCTTCAGCATGGCCGATTTGGTTGGACCCCTCAAAACAACAGACACCGTGTTGGTCAAAACACACAGCAACACAAATGACAAATCACATCCCCACCAACGGCCGCTCTCCAAAACAATCATTTTGGTATCCGTGTCGAGCATTTGGGTCTGTTTGTTTTTGAGGGCACCCTTTGGTTGTTTCTTAAAGGGAACCACCAGGAAAACGAAGGGGTCCCCCTGCAAAAATTATCACTATTTTGCCTTTCTGGCTAGTTGGTAACGGATTTTTGGACTTTCACTTTTTGGTTGAAACTTTGTGGATTTTCCGTATTGCACAAACAGTGGAACACATTTTTTTTGCGGAGGGGTCGTTACAGCAACCAAGTTGCCAGTGGTCTCTGGTGTCCTGGTCCTTTGGTATCATCGTCCTTATTTTGCTTGGTACTTTGGTACTTGGGGTCAACATGGTTGAAAGTTCATGTTCAAACTCCCAAGCAGTTGCGATCTGAGAGATTTGTTGCAGGCTTCCCTGAGTGCTATGAGCTTCAACCAGTGCTGAGAAAGGCGAGCGCTTCACGCAGCTTCCTTGAGAACTGCCAAGTTGGTGTGTTGTTTTTTGGGGCCACCCCGTGGTGTTTTGTTTTTTTTTTTTTTTTTTTTTTAAGGGACATCAAAGGGAAAGCCGAAGACAGTTTGGGGGTCTTATTTTGAGAAGACCCAGAAGTGCCAGAGTCTTGCCGGTGCGTTTGCTTCACCTCGTCGCAGGACGGGCCACATTGACTGCAGCCGAGAGCTCGGGCACGCTCTGGCGCCTCAAGCCTTCATTGGCCAATTGAGTGGTTCTTCTACCTGGTTCAATTTGGGGTCGTTTCAACCTCCTATATGCCTGGCGGTTCCCTGCCGGTCCCTTTTTTTCTTTTCGGTTTTTGGGGTTTAGTGGTTGGGTTTCCCACGAAACGTCTGAAAACGGACAGCCCACTGTGAAGCCTGACCACGTAGAAGCAACGAGTCAGCTCGGGTTTCGGGCGCTCACTTGGGCGGGCTGGTGGACCCCAATATGCAACGAGCCAGGCGAACGGAGCTATGACTCTGGCCGGAGTTTTCAAGTGGCAGGCGTCCCATGAAAATATACGCACCCAGATATCCCTTTTGCAGGTTCAAATATGACCGTTTGGGCCTCTAGGTGAGTTTTCCTATGGCAGGCTCTCTTTTGGCTCAGAAGTTGTATGTCCAACAAGACTAAGATGACTTCCTTCGCTGTGTTGCTCGCCCTGGCGAGTGTGGCGCATGCAGCAGGAGCCCCAGATTGGTGCAAGTGGGTGCCGTCTGCCTCCCTGCAATATGTGGGGGAGTGCTCCGGGGCTGCGCCGGCTCCGCAGCAGGGCTTTGGCTACGGAGACGGACCAGATGGCTGTGTCAACTGGTGCGTGTGGGTCCCGGGCAAAGATTGGCATCAGACCAACGAGTGCAAGAGGTGTGCGGAGTACTATCCGGTGGAGCCAATGGGCGCCCATGCAGGCTGCGAAGGCTGGTGCCAGTGGGTGTCGCAACCCTCGTGGCAGTACATGGACAACTGCAGGGGGTGCCGTGCAAAACAGGCATCAATGAAAGCAGCCGTCCCGGATAGCAGCGGTTCAGCGAAGCTTGCAGGCGCGGTACAGGCTAAAGAGCAAAACACAGCTTGCACGCGCAAGAAAGCGAGAGAGAAACTCTGTATTTGTTTCAACACGTTGTTTGGTTGAGATCCTGGCTTCGCAAACAGTTTTGCCGGCACCCTTGCTGCAAAGCAGATTTTACTTGGCCAGTGTCCGTTCTTTGCAATTTACAGTGCGAATCACGTGACCATTGTATAGGCGAATGTGCGGCAGCTAGCTTTGCCAAGTGTTCACCAGAGCCAAACAACTCATGCCACAATGTCCCTAGAAATTTCCTTCAGCTTTCAGGTTTTCCCAGCGCCCCGGAAATACAGAGTGCAGCTGGCAGAGCTTGGCATTGCTCTGAAGAGCAAAGTTGTTTCTTCTCTGAGCCAGCTGAGATAATAGTAACGAGCATTGCGTTTGCCAGGGTGAGTAATGCATCGTGCTCTCGCGAGGCGAGAAGATGGCGACTGGAGCTCCGGATTGGTGCAAGTGGGTGCCGTCTGCCTCCCTGCAATATGTGGGGGAGTGCTCCGGGGCTGCGCCGGCTCCGCAGCAGGGCTTTGGCTACGGAGACGGACCGGATGGCTGTGTCAACTGGTGCGTGTGGGTCCCGGGCAAAGATTGGCATCAGACCAACGAGTGCAAGAGGTGTGCGGAGTACTATCCGGTGGAGCCAATGGGCGCCCATGCAGGCTGCGAAGGCTGGTGCCAGTGGGTGTCGCAACCCTCCTGGCAGTACATGGACAACTGCAGGGGGTGCCGTGCAAACCAGGCATCAGTGAAAGCAGCCGTCCCGGATAGCAGCGGTTCAGCGAAGCTTGCAGGCGCGGTACAGGCTAAAGAGCAAGACACAGCTTGCACGCGCAAGAAAGCGAGAGAGAAACTCTGTATTTGTTTCAACACGTTGTTTGGTTGAGATCCTGGCTTCGCAAACAGTTTTGCCGGCACCCTTGCTGCAAAGCAGTTTTTACTTGGCCAGTGTCCGTTCTTTGCAGTTTGCAGTGCGAATCACGTGACCATTGTATAGGCGAATGTGCGGCAGCTAGCTTTGCCAAGTGTTCACCAGAGCCAAACAACTCATGCCACAATATCCCAAGGAATTCCCTTCAGAGCGCGTGCTTTTTGTTTCAGGTTTTCCCAGCCCCCCGGAAATACAGAGCGCAGCTGCCAGAGCTTGGCATTGCTCTGAAGAGCAAAGTTGTTTCTTCTCTGAGCCAGCTGAAACAATAGTAACGAGCATTGCGTTTGCCAGGGTGAGTAATGCATCGTGCTCTCGCGAGGCGAGAAGATGGCGACTGGAGCTCCGGATTGGTGCAAGTGGGTGCCGTCTGCCTCCCTGCAATATGTGGGGGAGTGCTCCGGGGCTGCGCCGGCTCCGCAGCAGGGCTTTGGCTACGGAGACGGACCAGATGGCTGTGTCAACTGGTGCGTGTGGGTCCCGGGCAAAGATTGGCATCAGACCAACGAGTGCAAGAGGTGTGCGGAGTACTATCCGGTGGAGCCAATGGGCGCCCATGCAGGCTGCGAAGGCTGGTGCCAGTGGGTGTCGCAACCCTCGTGGCAGTACATGGACAACTGCAGGGGGTGCCGTGCAAACCAGGCATCAGTGAAAGCAGCCGTCCCGGATAGCAGCGGTTCAGCGAAGCTTGCAGGCGCGGTACAGGCTAAAGAGCAAAACACAGCTTGCACGCGCAAGAAAGCGAGAGAGAAACTCTGTATTTGTTTCAACACGTTGTTTGGTTGAGATCCTGGCTTCGCAAACAGTTTTGCCGGCACCCTTGCTGCAAAGTCCGTTTTTTGCAATTTACAGTGCGAATCACGTGACCATTGTATAGGCGAATGTGCGGCAGCTAGCTTTGCCAAGTGTTCACCAGAGCCAAACAACTCATGCCACAATGTCCCTAGGAATTTCCTTCAGCGTGCGTGAGCGCGTGCGTGAGCGCGTGCTTTCAGTTTCAGGTTTTCCCAGCGCCCCGGAAATACAGAGCGCAGCTGGCAGAGCTTGGCATTGCTCTGAAGAGCAAAGTTGTTTCTTCTCCGAGCCAGCTGAAACAATAGTAACGAGCATTGCGTTTGCCATGGTGAGTAATGCATCGTGCTCTCGCGAGGCGAGAAGATGGCGACTGGAGCTCCGGATTGGTGCAAGTGGGTGCCGTCTGCCTCCCTGCAATATGTGGGGGAGTGCTCCGGGGCTGCGCCGGCTCCGCAGCAGGGCTTTGGCTACGGAGACGGACCAGATGGCTGTGTCAACTGGTGCGTGTGGGTCCCGGGCAAAGATTGGCATCAGACCAACGAGTGCAAGAGGTGTGCGGAGTACTATCCGGTGGAGCCAATGGGCGCCCATGCAGGCTGCGAAGGCTGGTGCCAGTGGGTGTCGCAGCCCTCCTGGCAGTACATGGACAACTGCAGGCACAAGTCAAACTACAGAGGTTTCCTTTGGTTTCTGTTTTTTGTTGGTGTCTTTAGATTTCAGTTGCTTTCCTTTGTTTTTTTGTGATGTCCTATGGCTTTCTTTGGTTTGACCCTTACAAGCCGATAGTCTTCTAGGTCTCCCAGTGCCCTTTTACCATTTCTTTTTGGTTGGGAGATTCGGTTCCCCTACTAAAATAGACTTCAGAAAGGGTACCCTTATTCTAACCTCTCTGCGGGAGGACCTAGTCTCCATGACCCCCCCAAAAAAAGGAGTATACCCAAAATAGACCTCAGAAAAAAATGGTCACCTCTCTGTATGTCCCGGTCTTCCGACCAAATATCCCTGGCAGGGGGTGCGGTGCACACAAAGCCTCCGAAAAAGCAGCCGAGCCATCAGGACGGGGAGCCCCAAAAAGTCGCCGCCGGATGTTCAGGATTGACATGGCTTCACGGTTCTTGGCGTGTTTTTTTTTGGGGGTTTTTAAGTTGTGTGGTGCTGTTTTTTTTTTTAGGGGTTTGCAAAAAACAGTCAATTTTTTGCCAGCCCATACCAAGAGCAGACATGGGCACAAGCGAGACCTCGCTGGTTCAACCGGCCGTCCGGTTCCTGACAGGGGTTTTCATTTAGCCCACAAGTTAGTTGGGGTCTAAGTCTGGCAGGTACAGGTGCTCTTTTTTCTGGCATGTTAAACCAAACCCAACGGAAAATGAGAAATGAATACCTTTTGATTTGTAGTCCGGGGTTGACATCAAACTCCTAGCACGGAGGGTATTTGGAGTAGGGTGTTTGTTATCCCATGAGCAACGGACGAAAAACCCAGGGTATTGGTTTTTGGTGGGCCTTTTTCTTTTTCAGCTTTGCAGGTTGGTGCTGGTTGTGGGGAACGCACATGCCGATACCAAGGAAGGCAGAGTTGTCGTTCTTCAAACAATCTTGAAAGGCGGAATGTGTGCGTCCTACTATGAACCCCTGGTATGAGCTTACGGGCTAATGACTCGCTAGTTATGGCTCAATTATGGGAAAGTAGCCCCCAAAGGGTCCAACATGGCCATGGGTTCATATTGACATACAATCAGCCTTTGAAATCTGCGCTATCTATCCTGTGTATTTTGATAATCCTGTATATCCCCTTGATCCTACCGATCCTATCCATCCTGTCTGCCTATCTAGCAGACCTATCTAAATAGTGTTCTTATGTATCAGTCTATCGATCTGTCTACCTAAAATCAAGTGCAATCTTAATCTAAGCTCATCAAGCACCCAAGTGTATCATCCTGGTCATAGGATTCAGCCAGCTCACTCGGTTTCCGCTAAGAAAGGGGTGAGGGAGGGGGGGGGGGTCCAAGCCCCAATGTGTCTCTTTTTTGGTGGACCCTCTGAAAAATGAGTGGTTTTCATGTGGCCACGGGGCAGAACCTATGGCTCCATTTTGGGGTGGACGAACATCCATTTGCCACCTATTTTGATGTTCACCAGGGGAGGGTTTTGACCCACAGCCATGTCGGCGTCAAAAATGACGACATTCAGAAGAGGGGTCGGCCTGGGATTCCAAGAGACGAGAACAAAGACTGTGCATGAATTGCAATGGGTGTCTCAGAATAGGGACCCCCCAAATTGGCGGCGTTCCTTTTGGAATCTGCTTTAAACCACCCCAAAAGGGGTTCCCTCAAAACGACCACGCCCATTTCATGCTACGCGGAACCTAGCCGCGATAAATGTTTTTTTGTGCAAGATCTCGACGAAAGGATTGTTTCACTCACTTGCCCAAAGCAAATCGACCTTTTAATCTGTTGGTTTCCCATTGTTGGTTAAGTGTTTGTCATGGCCCGAAAAACTAGAATTTGTGGATCCCTAAGGGGCAACGAGCTCACGGCGGCGTTGAAAGTTTGAGAGCCATTGAGATGTGAAATTATGTGGTTGCTTCGTTGGGGTTCCCGCTCGGAGACATGCAAAGCAAAGGGAGGCAGTCAGGAATGAGACGCATACTGTGGATGGACAAAATCCTGCACCACCTAAGAAACCCTGAAATGAAGATTGCCCTGCAAATACCAGCAAAAAGTGGTTTCTCTTGGTTTCAAAGTGAGAGACATAGCAAGCCAAAGCCAGGTGACCAAGCGAAGGCTGCGGACGACTCGCGACCGATCCTGCCGTGAGTGGACGGAGGGGCAACTTTTGAACATCGGGACTGAGCCAAAGAAGGTCAAGCAGTTTTAGGCGACGCAGATGCTGTCCTGTACAGTTGCAAGGAAATTCATATCGCGAGCACCATCCCATCAAGCACATGGTGGTTTGTGTAATTGTGTGCGATGTTCGCTCACTCAAGATGAGAAGTTGTTCGGATCGGAGCAACCCGATATTTCACGGGCTTTGTCACGTACAGGAGCCCTGCAAAAGGTGCTGGTGCAACACAAAGTCACCGGCGCGGAGCAGAAAGTCGACAGATGGCCAGTGTCTCCTGCATTCTGGTGGTTTGCTGGTGATTTAGTCTAGGTCTCCCAGTAGTGCCCTTTTACCATTTCTTGGGGTAGGGTTCCCCTACTAAAACAGACTACAGAAAAAAAATCGGGCACCCTTATTCTAACCTCTCAAATCTGGAGGACATAGTCGTAGGGCTTCTGGAAAACCGTGGCTAGGGCCTTGGTTTTCTTGTTTAATACGCGGATGGGCATAGTTCTCATAGGCCAAGTTGCTTCGACTTCTTGACCTTCGGTAAGGTGAAGGGCAGCTTAGCCTTGCTAGGGTCGTGTCATGCCGAATGAAGCTTAGCGCTTGATTTGGCAGGGCTCCTTAAAAGATACATTTTGCAACCATTTGAAACAGGGCTTTTTCCACTAAAATAAATGGGCACCACCATTTACAAGGCAATGTTCAGGTGTATAATGTATCCGGATCCCTGTTTGGGGCAGCTTGCTTTTGGTTTCTCGAGATCCCAGACGGCTTCGCATTCTGGGAGCCGTGACTACTGTGTGGACGGGTTGGTCGGCAAAGCTTTCTCTAGGCTCGGAAGTTGTATGTCTAACAAACCTCTGAAGATGACTTCCTTCGCTGTGCTGCTCGCCCTGGTGAATGCACCGCATGCTGCAGCAGCCCCAGATTGGTGCAAGTGGGTGCCGCCTGCGTCCCTGCAATATGTGGGGGAGTGCTCCGGTGCTGCGCCGGCCCCGCAGCAGGGTGGCTTTGGCTACGGAGACGGACCAGATGGTTGTGTCAACTGGTGTGTGTGGGTCCCGGGCAAAGATTGGCATCAGACCAACGAGTGCAAGAGGTGTGCGGAGTACTATCCGGTGGAGCCGATGGGCGCCCACGCAGGCTGCGAAGGCTGGTGCCAGTGGGTATCGCAACCCTCCTGGCACTACATGGACAACTGCAGGGGCTGCAATGCAAACCAGGCATTGGTCAAAGCAGCCGTCCCAGATAGCAGCGGTTCAGCGAAGCTTGCAGGCTCGGTGCTGCCAAAGGTGTGCGATTCATGTTATTTGGGGGTGTAAAGGGCAAACTGAGAGAGAGAAGGAGAGCAAGAGAGCAATAGAGATATATAGTATTATCATTAGATTATTGTCATCATGTGATATGTCATGTATTTTCTTAGTTTTATTATTATTTTTAGTTATTTGTCATATTATTGTTATTATGTTTATTAGTATTATTTATTGTTTTTATTGTTGTTATTAGTTTTTTTTTTCTGTTTGTTTTATCATTATGAGTTGTGTTCCGTGTGTTGTTTAATGTTTGTTAATATTACTACAGTTTTTGTTTATCATATTAACTATTATTGTTTTATGTAAATGACTACCGCCGAGTTGACCAATTCCAACAGGAGCCGGATAGCGCATGTTTGAAGCAGTGAGGCTCTAGCATATGCGAGTGTGGGCTTTGATGTTTGTGTGCCCCAGCCCCTATGCCGAATGCTTGGCAAAGCTTGACGTTGCGTTCAACAGCAGGAGCTGTTTTTTCCGAACCGTATCAGACACTACTTGGCAATTTCCAGCCACTCCCCTGGGCTTTTAGGTTTTTAGTTGGCTTTGTCGGTTGGGTTTCCATTCAACTCGCTTTTAGCAAGGGATCTAAAGACAGGTCAGACTATAGGAAATAAGCATGTTTGCATCTTCTTGTGGCCAGTAGTTAGTCGTCTTCTTCTCGCGTCCGATACCCTCCTTCAGGCAAGAAACCTGGCCTGAAGACCAAGTCGCGATGGGCAGATTGGTGCAAGTGGGTGCCTCCATCCTCGTTGCAATACGTGGGCGAGTGCTCCGGCGGAAGACCAGCCACGCAGGGCTCGCACAGCGGTGGGCGCCCAGACTGGTGCAAGTGGGTTCCCGCTGCGTCGCTGCAATACGTGGGAGAGTGCTCCGGTGCCACACCCTCCACGCAGGGCAATGCTGGGACCGGGCACCCTGAATGGTGCAGCAGGGTTCCTTCTGGGTCGCTGCAGTATGTGCCGGAATGTTCTAGCCTTGCGCCCACGACGCAGCACGGCAATGCTGCTGGGCACCCTGAATGGTGCAGCAGGGTTCCTGCTGGGTCATTGCAATATGTCCCGGAATGCTCCGGCCTGGCGCCCGCGACGCAGCAGGGCAACCAGCCCCAGCGCCCGGATTGGTGCAAGTGGGTGCCTGCTGCCTCAGTGCAGTACGTGGATCAGTGCTCCGGCAACTTTGCGCCTGCACAGGGCGCAGGAGATGCTGGCTGGGGCTACGGAGACGGACCGGAGGGCTGCGTCAACTGGTGCGTGTGGGTCCCGGGCAACAAGTGGCACGAGAGAGATGACTGCAAGAAGTGCGCGGAGTATTACCCAGTGGAGCCGCAGGGCTTTGCCCATGCAGGCTGCGCCGGCTGGTGCCAATGGGTGTCGCAACCCTCGTGGCAGTATGTGGGCAACTGCAGGGGTTGCAACGCAAACCAGGCAGCAGTGAAAGCGGCCATGCCGAATTCCATCGCCTCCGCGAAGCCAACAGGCTCGTACAGCTTGCATTTTTTGCTGGCTGGGATGGGCGTGTCCTCTCAAGACTGCCTTCCGAGATGGGTGGGGCTTTCCCAAAAGTGGCGGATTCCTTTCGGAGGTATACCAAACGGACCCCAAACGAGTAAAGCGGCAAGATTTCTCACTTTCCGAGTGCATGGACTTGAAGCTGTTTGGGAAGACCGTTTTAGTGGTAAACCAAACACTCCAATCCATTCAGGGTTTGTGATATCAACCTCGCGGACATCTTTGCCCCAGTTGATCTTGTTTTGTTTGGTCTCAGTTGCCCTGAGGGCGAATCGACCTTTCTCGCAGTTTTGGCGACCATTTGGCCGTGGGTCAACACCAATGGTATAGGTGCATCACCCATTTTAGAACCTATTTTAGTGGTTGGATTGGCCCCCTTATGGGGGGTTGAACGTCTTTGGGACTCCCTTTTTGTTGTATCACAGAAGTGGATTCCATTTCCCACAACCCTGCTCTTCTGTGTCTGGGTCACTAACCCTCAAAGAAGGATCCTTTTTTTTTGCCCGGGTCACTGGGACACTGGAATGTCGCCTGCCAATGGCTAGGCTCAGGAGCCATAATCCGCCGACCCCCCCCCAAATCATCAAACATCTCGTAATAGCGGTCTGGACGCCCATATCCCTTTTTTGGTTTGGATTAGTTTGGGGACCTTCCTATTGAATAGGAAGCTACCCCCAGCTCCAAGCTTTTTGTCGCCGAGTCGCCGGCGCGAGTAACGCATCATCCTCCCACACAATGTGTGCTCAACGCCCGACCCATGTTTTTGTTGACTACTGTTCCGCCAACATGTTCAAACGGTCGCTTTCAGAAGATGGTTGTCCAAGCGCTGGACCATGCCTCTTTCTCTCCCTCGGTGATTTTTTAGCGTCCCCTGTGGCCAATTTCAAGCAGAAACCAAAAGGACACCAACCCAGCACCCAGCCAACTTGCCGGCGTGTTGCCATGTCAAAAATCACCAAAAACGGGAACCGAAAAGCAGTTGCAAGTTGGGACCCAGGCGCCTCTGTTCTATAACCAGCTCGGGCCCCATGATCGAAGTCTATGTTGGGGATTCCTGATGTGTGGGTGTGTGTTTGTTATGAAGGATACCTTGTTGTTGTTTTGTTTGCGGTTTCAAAGGAAATCCAACCATGGCAAGCCGCCGTGTTTTTTCCTTGGTGCTTTTTGAAGGGACACACGCACACACACCCATGTCCGGCGAATGTTTCCAGATCCCCAATGCAGCACAGGAATCTCCTTCCCCGATCCGTTTTGCGTTCCCATCAGGCGGAGAGAAGACGCCGGAGAAAGCAGAGGCGGAGACGCGGGCAATCCTACCATAGTTTCGCTCTCACCGTCTCTCACCCATCGGGTCAAAGAGTGTCTAGCTCAATGTGCAGAGGCCCAAAGGGGAATGAAGCTTTTGGCGACGCAGATGCCGTCCATGTAGAGTTGCAAGTAATTCGCAGTGCTCCAAAAGCGCACGCGCCGAAATCCCCCAATAATTTGAAGCGACCCTAGGCTCACTTGCCCAAAGCAAGCGAGCAAATGGGCGATTCGCAGGTTTCCCCTGCGGCACACAAAAGGCGAGGATGAAAATGGACCAGAAGAGTCGTTTCGCTCCACGGACAGGCCGAACATCAAAGACACCGCCAAAGGCTAGGGGCCACTTCGCCTTAAGGCAAACAAACCCGGAGTGTCTCTTGGAACTTCCATGGCACTGTTTTTTTTTGGGGGGGTCGTTTTTTGGTGTCTCCTCAAAAAGGCACCAAGAAAAACACTCCGAAGAAGGCAACGTCCGGCCCGAACTGTGCAAGGGCCCGTCGTTGCCCCGCGCATCCGCCCTTCACATTTTGCGACACCTCAGATTCGTGGAATCCGCTTCGCGACATCGAGGCATGCGTCGTGGCCACACGTTGGGATCTACCCAGAGGGTCCCCAGGTCCTTTTGAGTTGGTACCTTTTTGAGGTTAAGGAGAGGTTTCCCATCTATTAACCTCAGGTTCAAATCCCCAAACCACCAATCCAAACCACCACCTAGGGGTTACTTCCATTTGCTTAAGATGTTGTTTTCCTTTAATGTATTTTTGTTTTTTTGTTTTAAATATTGTTTAAAGGGAATCGATCACTACTGTTTTTTTTGTTCAGAGGGCTTAAGCAAATGGAAGGTTACCTGAAATTTCCTTGAACCCGGAACAACTCAAAGCGCCCCAGGTCCCCTCCAAAAAGAATGCAACCGAGGCGAGGCATGCAGTCGAGGCATGAAGCATGGCCTTGTCTCACAAAATTTGTTTATGCGTTACCCAGTGGATCCCAGTTTCCACGACCCAGTTGTTCAGTGGCCTCAATTCGTTTTCCAACTTTTTTTTGGTGGCTGCCCCACTGAAATGGTCTTCCCAAAAAAGGGTTCCCTGTTTTTCCAGGGTCACTGAACAACTGAGACTAGTGCATTTTGCCAAGGGATGTTAGGACTGAACAACTTTTTGCCAACCAATGGGGTTTCCGTATTAAACCACTAAAAGTTCAACTTTAGCAGGGGAGCAGAAAGCAACCGAGAACAGGTACCCAGCCATTTTCCTTTTGGTTTTGAAAGGCTTGGTTTTCTTGGTCACCTAGCAGAGTTGGAGTCTCTGGGAAAGGCTAAGTATCAGAATCTGAAGATCTAAGTTTCGAGTCCCGACTTGGGAAGGGAAACCAAAACTTCACTGTTCTTGGCATGTTTTTTAGTTTTTTTTGTTGTTTGGTTCTGTTCATTTTTACTGGGGGTCTGCGAAAAGCAAAGTTTTTGGCTACCATACCAAGAGTAGAGATGCAAAAGGAGACTGTGCAAACAGCGGTTGGCTCACTTCCCGAGTTCCTGGACTGCGCGCCTTTCGGATTTCGGCCGTGCGAGTGGTAAAAATCGACAGTTTGGACTTCGTTGGGGCCAGCCGCTCAGGAAATAAGTTTAAATAGGCCACAGCCAAGGGTACCCCAGGGTTAACTTCAAGGTAGGAGGTGTTGCTCCGTTTTTTCTCACGGTTTTACCCAAGTGCACCCTGCAATTGAACAGTCTCCAGATTTTCAGCGGGGTTTGAGGGCCCGTTGATTCAGGTGGCCATGGGTCAGAAGCCCGTACCCCCAGTGAACATCCCAATCCCCACTGAAATAGGTTCTACAATGGGTGGTGAATTCACCTACCCCAAAATGGGACCCCAACACGGTTTTGACCACCACAGCCAGGTGTTGGATTCTCGTTTTGTCGTTTTTGCAGGTCTTTATTGGCCTCCGATGTCGAGCTGGAGGTTTCATTTCACCACATCTTTTCCGGGCGTGTCGGAGTGCGGAGAGTCGTTTCAGGGTCGTCGGAGTCCGAGCCATTTTTTGCCCATGGAACCCCCAGAGGCAGGTCAAAAAGAACCGCCAGGAAGTTGATCCACTTGTTAAAAACGGGCCAACCAGTAAATTCATCAACTTCAGGGAAGGTCTCCAGAATTGAAAACAACATTTGATTTGGGAAACCCGGAAAGTTGATCCAACTTAAGCCGCGGGTCTTTTGCCACCTTTTGTGGAAAATTGATCGACCCCCTCGTAGTGAAGGATTCCTTTTTGAGGGGGTCGCCCATTTTCTCACAACAGGGGGGAAAAAGACCCCCCTGAACACTTCAGGGAAAATCTCCAGAATTGAAAACAACTTCTGTTTTGGGCCAACCCGTAAAGTTGATCAGTGCTTAAGGGAAGCCAAGCTCCCGTGCTGCACTGGTGAGGTCAAAACAAGACGGGGCTGATGATGGTCTTCCAGCAGCTGGGCGACCTCCCGATGCCCAAGGCGGCGGGAGGGGAGCCGCCGAGTAATTATCCGGACGGATCTTTTTTTTTTTTTTTTTTTCCGGCTGAGAGACACCCGGCCGGAAGCGGAATCGGAAGGTTTATGAGTATTATGATTATTATTATGTTGTGTCGTGATTTATGCATTTAGTTTTTTGTTTGCTTTTCTTTTCCTGAGTGCAGCCAGCGCCCAGAAAGAACGCACCGCGTGGCGTATGTTTTTCAGGCGTCCGGTTCCTTAGGGTTTAAGTTCCTCGGGTCCCGTCCCTTCTTTTTCTTGGCGGTTGCCAGCGAATCGTCCGGTTCCTGAAAGGGTTTTAGCTGGTTTTTAGGCGGTTTAGTGGTTGGGTGTCCATTTAAGCCACTAAAAGTCAAACTTTTAGCAGGGATCTGAGGACAGCCCAGTTTGGTTGCCCTACTTGTGATTCTTGGGACATGGAAAACAAAAACACCGTTGTTGGGGGGGGGCTCGTAGCTGCCTGAAGTGTTTTGGGGGACATGATGTGATCGCAAATGGCTGTGGGTCAACCCAATCCCCACTAAAATAGACTAAAATGGGTGGTGCACCTACCCCAAAATGGTACCATTGGTTTTGACCCACAGCCAAACGAGGAAATGGAAGACCGGGGTCGTTTACCCACTTGAGAAAACCGTACAAAATGGAGGTGTCCAAGCGCCAGCCGGAGGCGATTGTTTGAGCAAAGAGTGAACCCACCTTTGGTCGGCGTTGTAAAGGGGAAACAAAAGGACACCCAGCATTCCAACGAACCACGATTTGGAGACCCCCCCCCGTTTTGGGGGATATTTGGTATCAGTTGAGACAAGTTCAGCGGCCAATCCAGGGAAGTCGGGTGGGTGGGTGCAGGGTGCGGGGTGGAAAAAGATATCCCGCAATAAAGCCGCAAATTTTCGGAGACCAAGTGCGAAACGGAAGTGGGGGTCGACGGGGGATTCGGGATCTCGGGATCACAGGATCGCAGGGTGTTGCTTCCATGACCTTTTTGGGTTTGAATTCTGGGAAACAAGAGGTCGGGAGGGTGGGGAGGGTTGGAGTCCTTTGAAGCAAGGTGATCACATGTTAACATCAAGCGTTTTGCGGTTCCTGCAATCAAATGTCCCGACTCCAGTTTCTAAAGCGGCAAGAGTTAATGCGGTTCACCGCAATTACAACAAATAATAGATGTAGTGTGTAACAGTTTCAGTTATCACATGGATTCCCCCCAAAATGGGCCCCATTTGGGGATTTTGCCACGAATGTGTTCTATCTGTGGCTATTGCTTGGGTACCTTCTGAGGGTCCCTTCACTTTAAACAACCGCTTATCGAACCCATCTGCCAATCGACGAAATCCATAGCTATCAGCTGGGAAATCAGGCATTGTTGGCTGGGGTCGAGCTAGGGATGCTGACGAGGTGACCTCTCAAGGTGGCTCCCAGCCAGCCAGTTCCTTAGCTTTTTAGCTCGTTTTAGCTGTTCAGCGGTTGGTTTTCCGTATTATTTAGCCCACTAAAAGTTAGTCACTTTTAGCGGGGCATCCGAAAACGGACATCCTACCTCTGGGATACCTGAGGTCCAGGATACGCCTTTTCAACATCCCACCGGCCTGAAGGCCTGGTAAACTCTTCGGAAAAGGGGCCTACTTCACTTGATTTAATTTACAAACCTGACATGGGGTGTTCCTTTCCGGGGGGAAACCCCTGCTTGGTTGGTCTTCAAGGCAAAGCAAAAGAAAGACCGCCATTGTTGGGGCGATGTTTGGAAAACACTTTATGTCAGTTTGGTAACAGATCTTTGGACTTCCACTTTTTGCTTGACACTTTGCGGGATTTTCCGTATTGGACCCACAAACGTTGAACAAACTTGCTCGTACGAGGGGTTGCTTCCAGTTGCACCCAGGGCAAGGGTTGCCATGGCATGCAGGGAAATGGTCCCAAGAGGGAACTCATCTTCCAGATACCTTCCAGGTGCCATACGTGGGAGGAAGGGCATGTGTCAATTTTTGGGACAAACAAATCCCACGAAACGGGTCCCTGTTTTTCTACATGTCGGGTTCGTCCCTTGCCGCCAGGACGAGTGGTACACGCGAGTGTTCCGGAACTTTGCGGGCAAGGAGAAGGACAGGCTCCCTTCGGCCTCGGGCCAAGTCCACTAGACCATGGCAGTCACATAGAGTATCCCTTTGGGTATCCCTGAAAACCGATCCGAAAACAAGCAGACTGGGTAAAGCTTGTGTATACAGACGCCCAGTGGCGCCCCTTGCTGCTTTTTGGAGGGGCTTCCTTTGAAAAAACAGACCACCAACAAAAGCAGGGCCTTTTTTGTCCCATTGACACTGACTTCCAGTTGCTTAAGACTTTGTTATTTTCCCTTGTTGGTTTTAAAAGGAATCTATCACGGTTTTAATGGGAATCTATCTTTCTTTCTTTTTTTCCCGGGGGGCTTAAGCAAATGGAAGCTGGTCGTAAACATCCACGTTTCGGGCCATTCCAACCTCTGAGTTTGCTTCGGGGTGATGTTTTTAACGGGGCCGTAGCCCTGTGATCTCGAATGTAGAACGAGCTGAAGCCTAGCCCAGCTTGGCAGCCATTGCTGCAGGCGAGCTGGCTGTCTCCTAGGGAAGCGCTGCAAAAGTGATTGATGGACATGATTGACAGTGGATGATGGGCATGATCGACAGTGGACATGAATCCCCACACAAATAATGTCCGCCATTTTGGGTTATGCCCAGTTGGATGCACTAGTGGGACCCTACTTAACCTCCTTGCATCCAGGATATCCCCCAAAACACAGAGTCCCTTCATACCTCTGAAGGATGACTTTTAGAAGTGAAAAGGGGTCTAAGCCCCTTCTCAAAAGATACTTGGTAACATCCTGATAATACCAGCATCCTATAGTAAGACCAGGAGTGCGTTTGTTAGTCATCAGGATGGGCGTGCCGTGGGGCATTTCTACAGACTTCGCAAGATGCCCTAGTAGGAGTACACCCGTTGTCGTTATTTCCGGACAATACAAATCACTTGGCACCCAGTTGTTTCATTTTTCAAGGGGTGCCGTAATCCCAGGGTGAAGACCAAACTGTTGGTATCGCAGAAAGCGATGAATCGTACCTTCTGACTATGTGGTTTTGTTGGCAAGCATTGCACATTCTCACATTGAACCTCAATAGGATCTCTGCAGAAGATTCCAACTTCGGATTGATGAATTCGGCAGACCAGACAGATCCCATCAATCCCCGCAAATCGAATGCATCATAACTAAGAGGAGACCAACCCCGGATTGGTACAATGAACCAGATAATTGAAGTTTATATTCGAGATATTATTGCTTGAGTCAGTGATGACTTGAGTTCCTGTGGTGAGCAACTAATATTTCTCGGGTTTGGATCGGAACTGGGGATTTAAGTCGCTCCTTCCAACCCTTGATTGTTGGTTCTGGTAGATGCTGAATGGAGAATCTTCCCTAAACTCAAAGCCGCCCGGCCCCAAACCACGAGGGAAGCCGACTCGAGGTCCTTGAACAACATGTTCCGGAAGGGAACCTGCGTCACGGAGCTCCTCAAGTATTTTTTTTGGCCATTTAAAACATCACTTTTGCTACCAGATCCCCGACAAAGAACCCAAGAACACCCTTTCTGGGAAATGTTGCAGATTCCATGTCATGCCTCAGACCTTCACCATCCCAAATAAAGAGACGTTGCAGCCGTCCCGCTTCCTATCACAGGTTCCCCCAACACTTGTTTACGGTATATCTTACAGAACCGCGGTTCTCTATCGTAAATCATTTCTTGTTTTGGTCAGGGGTTGACATCATTCCTCCCGGCCATCCGGTTCCTTAGCTTAGCTTTTCAGTGTTTAGTGGAAGTTTGCCTGTTTACTCCACTGAAAGTTCCTCACTTGCGGGGGATCTGAAGACGGGCGGCCCAGTTTTGGACCGTAGCATTTTGGTTCAGCGCCCGAGTGCAGCCTAAGGGCCGGTTCGGCGAAGGACCTGATCGACTACCGCTGCTTCAGGGAAATCGTGAAGCAGTGGGATGAGCCCGGAGACACGGAAAGAAGGGATTTCGGAGTCGGGGATTTTTCGGAAATGGCCGGTGGAATGGCTGCTGGTTTCTGTTGGTTGGGTGGGTGAGTGGTTGCTTGGTTGGGTGGGTGGTTGGTTGCGTGGGTGGGTGGTTGGGTGGGTGGGTGGGTGGGTGGTCGGTTGGTCAGTTGGTTGGCTGGCCGGCTGGCTGGTTGGTTGGTACAATTTGGTCTGACAATCTTGCGAGCTCAGGTGAATCGAGCTTGTTAAGGTCCTTTACTTGGGATCTATTGAATCTATTGCAGGTTGCGAAGTTATGGCAAGCAACAAACATATGCTAGGAACTAGATCATGGGTGCTTATGGTCAGAAGACCCCTTTCAAGCCGGCTTGGTATAGGATGCCGCAATGGCGTCTGACGAAGAGAGCCGCGACAAGGACCCCTTTCGGATGGGCCAGGACTTGTCTGCGCCTAGACAGACCGACAGGAACCACGACGAGCTCACGATCCAAGACTGAGGGCACTTGGATTGTTTCTGGGTGCTCGTTTTGCAGAACCCCGAATAAAACATGCATTTTTGACATGCATGTTTTTTTCAAAACAAACATGCATTTTTCACACCATCAGAACATCCCTTCCTGTGGCTGACGCTACAGCCATAACTTCCTCTTGCAGTCCTCGTTTGCGCGTTCATCGAGCTGGACTTGCCTGAAGGCCAAGTGACCATTAGGCTCCGAACCCGCAACATGCAGCAGGGTGCATTCCACGCCTGAGGGAAAGCATCACCCAGGCATGGCCTTATGAAGATGGTACTGATCCAGAGATAGGCTTATGTCACAAATTAAACCACTAGGGGACCGCAGGTTTTAGTCCATGTTTCCATGTACCAGGGCTCCATTCTGGGTGCCTTTTTTTGACCCACAGCCATCTATATTCATGGTACTGGCCACCACGTCCAGCCTTGCAAAACTGCCTTGGAGTGCGAGTCGAACCGCCTAAAGTCCATGAGTCGAGCACTTTGGCGTGCAATAGATGAGTACGTCTGGGACCACCGGATGAATCATGGAAGATGCTTCACACCATCTTCCATACTTCCGCTGCAAGCGCATGATGCACCCGAACAGCGTGACTTGGACCGAGAGATGACCTTTCTAAATTCCTAGCTGGCTCTGGCAAGGCCGTCTTTGCCCTGAGCGATCTGACCATCTATGCTGCGCAGAATAGCATAGCATCTTCTGAGACTGAAACCGAAGCCAGAACTTGGCAGAACCTTGCTCTAAAGCTCCAAGCAGAAATTGGCATTCAACAACTCAGCGGCTGGGAGCCGCTATAGTGCCGGACCTTCTTCGGCATGCTGTGGATTCACTTTCTGGCCGATTCGGAGAGAAGTTTTGCTGTTCTCGGTTAGAAGTTGGGAGTGTCTTTCAGCATATCCCAGGATCGTGCCCTTTCTCACCATGTCATTTTTGGATTTTTGGTTCGGGACCCTACTAAAACAGACTACAGAGAAAAAATCGGGCACCCTTATTCTAACCTCTCAAATCTGGAGGACCTAGCTGGGCTGTTTGATCAATTATGTGTGTCGTTTCGATTGAATCATTGGCAAGCTGATGGGATGGAGCAGGTGTCTATCCAGGGTACCCTTCCGCCCACAAATGCGGAGCCTGGGCAGACAGCTTTTCTCCAACAAAGGACCCTTTGGTGCTTCCATGTTAACGTTCTGTTTTTTTCCCTCTTTCTTTCGTTTGGGGGGGGGGTTCCCTCTAAGTAGCATCAACCAACAAAAACAGCTTCGCCTTTTCTCCCCATGGAATCCCCTTGAGTGTGTTTCGTATGGTTTGCCGGCTGTTGTTTTTCCCAGCCCGCAATTTCAGGAGCCGGTGCCGGAGTTTCGGAGTTGGTTCAAAAGGAGCCTTCACAAACCCAAACATGTTTGAGGCGCTGACTTTGTTTGAGACACACCAGTAATGCAGAGTTGTTTTATTGCCTCAACTTGTCGCATGTCAGCCTTCTTTCCGAGTGCACCGAGGCACCATCAAAAGAAGAGAGAAAAACAGCAGCAGCAACAGCAGCAACAGCAGCAGCAGCTGCAGCAGCAGCAGTTGCAAGAGCAACAACAGCAATTGCAACAGCAGCAGCAGTTGCAACAGCTTCAGGAGCAGCAAATGCAGCAGCAGTTGCAGCAGCAGCAGTTGCAACAGCAGCAGTTGCAACAGCAACAGCTGCAGCAGCAGCAGCTGCAAGAGCAGCAGCTGCAACAACAGCAGTTGCAGCAACAACTGCAGCAGCAACAGCAGCAGCTGCCTCCGCAACAGCCGCTGTCTGCTCCTCCTGCACGAGAGCATCAGCGGTCTACATCAGGGCCAGGGTCGCTTCTTGATTGCAGCAGTTTTGGGTGGGATTGGCTCAACTTCTTGTTCCCAGTTGTCAGCGGTGCAGTTCTCTTTTTTGGAGAGGGCTTGCCCTAAAATCAACCAACCTCAACCAACCAAAACGCAGCTCCTTTGTCCATGGTCAATGCTGGGTGGCTCCCAGCCATCCCCTTAGCTTTTTAGCCTTTTAGTTTTGAGTGGTAGTTTCCATTTAACCCACTAAAAGTTAGTCAGTTTCAGCGGGGGATCTGAGGACAGCCTAGAATGGAGGTCTGTGTTTTATTCTCCCAAGCCTAGCATTTGGGAACCTCACGCACAACGGCCGGATCTGAGCCTAGAGTTATTTACTTGGGTGTCTGTTCGAGTGGTTTTTAAAGGCAAACTTCCATTTGGTTAAGAATATTTTTTATTATTTCCCCTGTTGGTTTCAAAGGGTATCTATCCCAACTGGACATATTTGTTTTTCCAGGGGACTTAAGCAAATGCAGCCAAAACCAAAAGGACGCCCACCAGTTTGGGGGGCGATTTTAAAAATACAAACCCACTTGGCTTTTCTTCCAACCAACCCATTGCGCCCATTGATATTGATGTTCGAGATGCTGGGAATAGAAAAGGCGACAAGGCCTTTGATTTTGGCACATTATCTGACCCAGTGACTTTCTTTGGGGGGCATGGCCATTCATTTTGTTTCCAACAAAGTGATCTCGAAAAGTGGATTGCTTGGTGAAGTATTATTCACCCGTTCCCCCAAAGTAAAGAGCCTTCGTGGGCGCGGTCACATCAAACACCTGCAGGTCAAAGTAGCTCCTGCACTTTGAGGGGTACTCGTAGGCTCCCCCGCTTGACGTGGAAGCCCAACAGGGTGCCGTGGTATCTTGCTGGCGCTCAGCAAGGACGGAAAGACCCCGAGAAAAAACCATCCCAGTGGTGGTTTCCTTTTTTCAGGAGCCCCCTGGGTTCATTCCCCCCACTGGTGGTTAAGGAGACCCTGCCCTGGGTTCCTTCCCACATTCCCTTCCGAGCACCAGTGCACCAGCATGTTATTCCGCCGGTGGGTTATGCCCATCTCACAAAACGCCGAACGACGCAAGAGGCACCGCTCCCGATCAAGGCCTGGTGTGATCCATTGGACCTGGTCCAGAGACCCGACCAACTCAAGCACAGAATGAGTTTAGCACAGGTTGGGTGTGGCTTTTTTGGGGAACGTATCCCTTCGTGGTTTTCAAGCAAAACCACCTTTGGAGCAGTGCGCCAAAGGATGACACGCCCAGTTGGAAATGATCCCCTTTGCAGCAAAGTTAGGCCATCCCCCCCCGCCCTCCCCTCCCCCACTGCAAAGAGGGATTCCTGGCACTCCAACCAAGGCCACCACGACACGCGTTCCGAATGCGCTTGGCCCATGTCTTACTGGACCAAAGGTGGTTGATGCCCTTTTGGTTGGGCTACACCCCTCGGACAGGTGGCGACCATCGTTTGCCCATTCGCCAAAATTGAGTTTCAGACTTTGGCCATAGCCAACCAAGCGCTTGTGTTTCACAAGGGACGTTGCAACAGACCTGGGGAGTCCCAGGTGAACAAGTGGGTACCAGTCTGATCTTAGCTGATGAATTGGGGCCATCGGCCCCCCCCCCGGGGCCCCGGGATGAGTGTTCCAGGTCTAGAATTCTAGGGTTAAAGATGATGTGCCAAAGACAACGAGCCCTTTTTGGTCCACACCGCGTGGGCCGCGTCAAAGCTGGCCCGTTTTGCTTTCAAGCAGAGGTTGCAGCCACCAGCGCCGTCGGCGGATTGCTCATCTGCCCCCAGCTCGGAGGGTTTCGAACCCGGTTTTCGGACCGTCAAAAGTGGACAACTTCAATCGAAACCACCAGTCAATTCAGCAACTGTCAGGGTGCAGGAAGTTTAAACTGCTTGGGGGTGTTTTTTTTGAGGGACCCCCCAACAAAAACACCCCCCAAAACAATAAGGTGGGTAACCTCTTGGTTTCCCTTTAAAGCCACAAACAGGGGTATATTCAAAGAAGACAGATCCATGTAACTGTTTCAACTCCGTCCGGCCAGCAACTCAGCGAGATAGTCTTATTAGGAAGTCAATCCTCATTGTTTGGGGGGTTGTTTGGGGGGAGTTGATGAGGTTCCTGATGGATTCTCCCAAACGCGAGGCTGCATATGGGACTTATGAGACATGTGAAACCCTAGTGCATTCGATGTACACAGCTCAATGGACACCGAACATGTGGCAGACAGGAAAGCACCACAAGATACAAGTTGCTGAACAAATAACCAAGCTCAAATAATTATATAGTCAAATGAACCCATAGCTAACACCACATTTTAACAATGACCCAGCACCCCGTTTGACCATTGTTTGGCGGGCTTTGACCAAAAAGCCCGTGGGTCGCGCGGCTTGTTGGGTGCTTCATGGAGCTTGTCGCGGGTTCAACGGGATCTCGATCGGTCGAGGCTTCTCCAAGGCATGGATCCTCGGTCCCACCATTTTGAGAAACACGTGTACACAGGATATACATATTATTCTGGGTGTGGCTTCGTTCAGGCAAATTTGTTGTTTGGTTGGATTGAAGGAACATCAAAAGGACAACTCTCTCTCTCTCTCTTTTTTTGGGGGGGTCCCCAAAAAAGACAAACACCCAAATGAAAATGTGTTAGTACATGAGTGTATGGGATCCATCCGCCTAACCAGGTGCCGCTGATGTGGTGACGGGTGAAGTCAGCAGATATGGTTTTCAGCAGCATGAAGGAGGTGCTAAAAGTCATAGCCTCAGATGGAACCCAGAAGCTAGAAGGCTTTGGAAGATGGGTAAAATGTGGCAGGTGAAGTTACCAAGTTTGGTTTGCGAAGGAGTTGCAAAAGGTCAGCCAGAAGCTAGAAGGTTTTGCCAGAATGGTCAAGCGCCCCAGTAAATATCTTCGTGGGCCTTCACCTGGTGCTTTGGAGTGGCTGGCGTTCTGCGATTTTGCGAGGCGCAGAGTACGACCAGATCAGTTTCTTCCGACCACGCGGCGCGCAACTTTTGGGCGGGGATGAAGCCGATGGGAAGTTCTTGTTTTTTTTGGGGGGGGACGAGCTGCCCAAAGCGAATCGACCTGTTGACAATCTGGTTTTCTCTTGGCCCAGTCTCGCTTGGTATTCCTTGATGGCTCTTTCGGGCTTACCTTAAAAGGCCTTTGAAAATCGAGCCGCTTCTGGATTTTTACACATGGGCGTGTCGAATTTTGGGAGTGGGACCCCCAAATGGCGCAAGAGTTTCCTTTTGGGGGCCCCTTCAAAAAAACAGGGGGGTAGCCTCAAAAAGCGACGAGCCACCCACATGACCCCGAGTCCGAGTTTGAAGGCATTTCCCTCATATCGCCAGGCCACCTCCTCTCCAGCGCCCCACTCGGAGGTGCCTAAGGCAGGGTTTGGTGTGCGGAATTTCACCATTGCAGAGGCGGGGTGTGACTTTTTGAGGGAAACCTTTTTGGGCTGGTTTAAGGGACACCAGAAGGAAGCCAACCAGTTTAGGGGGGTCGGCAATTTTGAGGTCTGCAATGATTGTGGCGACAGAGGTAAAACGACTCATGATAGCAGTTGTTTGCTTGGGGATCCGCTTGCTACCTGAATGGCTCGCCTGGCACACGGGGCTTGATGATCAATTTTCCTAAAATGACCATGGCTAGCTTTTCCTGTGTGGGAAATAAGTGGTCGTCCCACAGGCATTTTTTGATCAACCCCCGCATGGGAACCTAGGTCAACCTGTGCCTTTGCGGCACTGGGTTCCTGATGTCTGCCCATAACTCCTAACCTCCCAAGCGATGTATGGAGGGGCGTACCTACCCCCAGAAAGGACCTTTCCCCCTATATGTTGCTTGGATACAAGGGAAATCATGTGTGGATGGTCCCGCACTTCTGGCCTAGCTGGGGATCCTGTCAAGACTCGACATGTTCCATCCATACTCGGGAATCATTTGTTCTCCTTTTCTTGGGGGCGGATTATCTTGTAAAATGATGGTGGAAGATATGAAACATTTCACCTTTAAACGATTGTTGCTACCCTCTCCAAGATGGTGTAATACCCCCTGACTGATTCTGGGTCATGGCGATTTCAGATGTTATGGAGATTTCAGATGTTATGAAGGGTCGAACATATGTGATGGGATCCGATCCCGGATCGGCCCGTTCCAGATCCATTCCGCGCTCAGGAGAGTGATCGAGAGCCAGAAGGCGTGGAAATTTCGCCCGGCGCGGGAGTGGCTTCCCTCAGTTGGACTCGTCCATGGTAGAGCTGTGTCTCTCGCAGTCCGTCTGGAGCTTTGGGTCTTGTGTTGCGGTAGAAACACCGTGAGACCAGAGTTTGATTGAAGGAGGTGCTAACCTGGGATCGTGAAAACCAAGAGGTCAACAACTCTACCGCTATTGGGTTGGATCTTTAGACTTGATATAACTTGTTGGATTCCTCTCATATTTCCTTTTAAGCAGCAAAAGGTTAAACACTTTTTGCTGGGGGATCTAGAGCACCCAAGAAAAGCCCGATTCGCCTTGGACGGCTGAGAGAAGCATAATTCTCCAACCGGGAACCAGGATTCCTCAAGAGATCTGCACCAGCGAACTCGTCTAACACCCAGATCGGTGAGCTCGAATTTCTCCAGCCAATCCTTTCGACGCTCAGTTTTCAACCCGCTTCCTGGGTGGTTTGTTTCCCTCACTTCCTGAGTTCATGAACTTTAAACTTTTTGGGAAGACTATTTTGGTGGTAAATATAAAGTTTGGACTTTTTTTGGGCCATCCACTCAGCAAGTGAGTTCCTAGTGCTGACCCCAGATTCATAAACCTCTATTGATTAGTATGGGGGTGTCCCTGGCTTAAGTTGGGATTTATCACTGGAGGGGAACACTGCCATATTAACCAGGGGCTTATTAGTCCGAGGTCAACATTGAACTGGTCTTTTGCTTATCACAAGTCCAACCTTTTATGTCCATGTCCTTTGGGCAGGCGAGTTATACCAATGAGAACCCAGGATGGATTGACCAATACGAGGGCGTGCCCCGATTTCAGAGAGGATTTCAGTTCGGCCGGGTCGCAAGACATCCCGGCGGGTTGGTGAAGAAAGGTCGACATGTTCATTTCAGCGCCTTGTGACTTAGAAGGTTTCTAGCCCAAGTGCAATCGAGTGGGATTGAAATAATACATGACTTTGAGTACTTGCGACATTTCAAGGGTCAAGTTTCTATTTGAGGAGGTACAATTTTGGCCTTTCTTTGCGGTATGGTTCGATGGCTTTTTTTGATCCAATCGGTTTGAAAGGAAGCCAACAGCCACCTTTGGTGGCCACCCATTGCAAGAACACTCATCGTACCTCTGGCTCGCCTCGAAAAGTCAAATACTCGGGATCGGGGTGGGATCAAGGGGTTTATCCCCGCTTGTGATACAAGGCAATCCTTTCTTTATATGGGGGGGTAGTCTGTGGGAGGCCCTTCTTGTTGTATCATTGTATCACAGAAGTGGTCACTTCCCACAGCACTGCTCGGGATTTGGCTCGCGCTCTTTATATGGGTCGCGCCCTTTGCGGGGGCTAGGGTCTAAACAGGACGAATAATTCTTTGGAGAGACATCCGCAAGATTTTCTTGTTTGGGTTGGGAGGTTTCTGGGTTCCCTTTGTAGGGATATCTGGGTGGTTTTGTGGTTTTTCTCTTGGCTTGGGAAGTGGTCACAGGTAATTCAGTTGTTGGTTGCGGAAGACACACAAATGGGAAATTGTAAAAACGTGGTTTCGCCAATTCACTGGACAGCCCTTCATTTTGACGAGCCCAGCAAGACCAACTGAACTCTTTCAATAGGTTTTTTTTACGGGGTATATGCTGCGTGATGAACTTATTTTGATGTATAGTATATAAGCATCCATACCTCCAAAAGTCATGCTTGCAGATTCGTCGGCAGGGCGGCGGCCAGAAACGGCCCGGGCGCCAAAGATATTCGACTTTATGAAGGTAGTCCACTGATTACGGGTTTGCCGTGTGTTTTGAGGTACTCGAGACCCTATCCACTCAGGAAGTGTGGGTCACCTTCCAAAGGGTTTCCCTTTAGTTTCCCTTCAAAACAACCCACAAAGCAGGTACCCCAAACAGCGCCAACCCCATTTGGAGCCGTAGCAAGGGCAGTCATGGGAGTTATTTGGCCCTCGGTCCTCAGTGGTTTCTATTGGTCAATACCAGTAACACGGTTGCAATGACTCCCCCTATGCTTCTGAATCTGGATTTGAATCACATCGGTGGGGCTTTCCAGTTCCCAATTCATGGCTTGGCAGTTCCCGGCCACCCTAGGCTTTTAGCTCTTTAGTTGGTTTGGTGGGTGTTTCCATTTCACACACTAAAAGTTAGTCACTTTTAGCAGGGGATCAGAACACGCTCAGCCCAGATGGGAGGTTGGTTGGCTCAGACGATCAAGTTGAGTGATTCCTGGTACGCCTGGTTCTGACCCCTGAATTCCATTTAGGGTTCCATTTTCCCTTGTGTGGGGAAGACTGACTAAATGGAATTGTGGGACCCCCCACCCCCCTCCCCCTTAAGGTAGGGGGGATGTGCTGTTCTGGTGCTGGTTGTTCGAGCCCCCGCGCCAAGCTGTGGACATGCCCGTCTTCCAAGTTTCTTGCGCTTCGTTCTGCTCAGTGACGTCGGACATGAACTTAGCCAGACGGGGCCGAGCCAGGAAGCTATGAGCTAGGGGTATCCAAGTTGTTTGCCTTCAAAGAGGGAGCATTTCGGAGTTACCAGGAGTTCTGGTTAGGGACATGGAAATTAGGACACATTTGTTTACCAGGCCGGTGCCTTGTTGGAATCAACAGCGCAAGTCTCCAGTGTTCTTGGAGGGGGATTGCCTTTTTTTCCATGGGTGGGGTGGGGTGGGGTGGGGTGGGGTGGGGTGGGGTGGAGTGGGGTGGGGTGGGGTGGGGTGTTCCCCTTTTCCCAAGCTGAAACCTAGAGCTGTCAGGAAAGGGTTCCGAAGGCCAAGGGCAAATGGAGGCTTCCGGCATGAAGCCTCATCCGGCCTATTGGCAGGATGTTTCCATCCGAGCCATTTTGTCTTCAAAGGGAACCTACCGTTCGATTCTTCAATGGAAGCCACCAATGAAGTGCAAGTCATGACAAGGGGGAATCCAGTGAATGTGTCCGCAAATCTTTGTAAGGTCATTGATTTCCGGGGAATTTCATATGGGGTTCCGCAAATCTTTGTAAGGCCAGCGCCTTGGACGAGTTTTAACATGTTTCAGCTGGGAAACGCAGGTTGCTCATGGAAGCCTCCGGAGGTGTGGGAAACCGGGCGAAGCTTTCGACTCAGGCGCCGCCTGCAAGCGTGCCCTCAGCCGGTTGGAACCTCAGACTGGCTGAGGGTCAACCTCTTCATAACTCTTTTTGTTTTCTTTTTTTTAACCAAGCGCCTTTTTTTGCGACTTTGTTTTAGGAAGGGTTCTCCTTTAAACTCGACCAAACAGGATGCCCTCTTTTTTCCCACCGCTAGGCATCTGAGAGAATCGTCATGCGCGTCATAGGGGTTTTCTTCATGGCCATTTGGGAACGGATCCTTAGACTTTGACATGTTGGCTGAAACAGCGGAGTTTCCGTTGGGCCCACAAAATATATTTTTTGGCAGAGGCGTCAACAGCAACCAAGTTTAGACAACTCTTGTAAAGAAGATTCCTGCAAAGGGAAGCATCACCAGGACCCACAAAGAAGTGAACACGACATATGTTTCTGCATGCAAATAATCCCAGCGACCTGAAGGGAGTTTCCAACATGACCCGCTGTGAAAAAGGTTAAGCTTCGTTTTTGGGTGAGTCCCGTATTTTAGCCCTGTGAACAATCTGCAGTTCACCCGGAAAAAAAGGCGGAGTGCGGCACCATTTCAGGGTTTACCTATGGCCTTGTTTTTTTTCTTTTTGGCGTACTTATGTCTGTGAGCGGGCAATACTACCTGGGTATCGGTTTTGGTTGGGCAGTTTTTGGTGGAAAATAGGGGATCAGAAAGCGGACAGCCCAGGTATGTGTTTCTTGGGTGCGTCTGCGCATACGAGCGGTCAATGTTGGCACACCTTTCCTACTGAGTCATGCACATTTTTTTTTGACAATGATGCTCTTCGTTTAAGTCGAGGCGCGAAAAGTTCAAATGTCCGCCAGTCAACTCAGCTGCTCAGGTGAAAGTTTCAGAAAGGTTGCTTAGATGGCAAAACAGTCTGTGGGTGAATTTGTTCTGTTTGGGAAGATGCTAGTTGTGTGTGAGCCGCGAAACCTGAACATCATCTACCTGAGCAGTTTTTTTTGGAGGGGGGGCTGTTGTCCGAAAGATAGCCCCTGTTTGGACCCTGCTGCCGCATTGCGCGTTTTGTTCTTTTTCAACTTCCCCCCGTGTCTGAACAAATTTGTTTCACTTGTCCTGAGGCTAGGCAGGGCAGTCCACATGCAATCGTGAGACCTTGTCAAAAATGCCCCCCCCCCCCCCCCCCCCCGTGTGGTATCCCTTTGAAAAGGCGGCACATGTCATGGTTGTTGTTGGGAAACATTTTATATTTTTGCTCATTGTGGTTTAGTGGGAATCCCCACTTAACTGCTAAAATTGAATTTTTTGCTGCCCTGCCAACGCAAAGCAAGATGTAAGGATGACTAGATATTGCACACAGATGAGAGCAGCGAGCAGAAGAGCGGAGCATCGGAACTGAACAGCAGCGATACCGATTGAGATGGCACTTCATATGCAACAGCAACAGCTTCAGTAAGCCAAGCAGTTGGGGCCTGTACGTAGACCTTAGTAGCAGCTAGATTGTTGTATGTGCTTCTGAGGCATTTCAATTGGATCCAATTGCACATCCAGGCCTCACATGATTACCGCATGTTACCACTAGCGGAATTCAACAATGACGAGCATAGGATTGTCTAGTGCCCCTGAATATCAGTGCAACTCGCTCAAGTCCGGCAGCATTGCAAGTTGTCAACTCTCAAAGAAGTTGAGTTCCACGGTGACAATGCTCCTCACTTAGATCACCAAGAGAGAACACACGCACAACACACGGCAGTACTGTATGGACCCTGAACAGGCCCTTCGCCATACCGAGGGGAAGCTATTTGGTAACGGATCTTTGGACTTTAACTTTTGGTTGAAACAGCTAGGACCTAGGATTTGTCTTGTTTGTCCCACACAAAGTTGAAATCTGTTTGCAGAGGGGTCGTTACAGCAACCAAGTTACTATAGGGGTAACCCGGATCCACTGAAAGGGACATTGCCCCCCTTCCACCGTTCTGGGGTGTCACTTGTCAAGCCCATGATACCCCAATGCGCCATGAAAAGACTTGCTTGCTCACTGATGAACTTGGCACTTTTTCTTGCGGACGCCCATTTCAGCAAACAAACAGCTTGGTTTTGGCCACACTCAGAAAGTGAGCGGCTTTTTAGGATGGTCAATCCAGGTAGAAGCATCGCCGCATCGCCTTCGGATGAGTCGGAGGCAAGGAAACGTGTCGCAGGACATGCAGCTATTATGGTATTTGAGTTGTTTTCTTGTTTCAAAAGAAAAGGGGGAGCGCGTTCTGATATGGCTGTGGCTCAAACAATTGAAATACCCAAAATGGTACCTTGGTATTAAATGGCAACAAAGACCAACACCTGCTGAAGCCTAGGTCTTGCATTTGTGAGCCACACCCATGTGCAGCTTCTTTTCTGTTCTTGGTGATTTTATGTTGTGAGTTTGTTCCGTTCATTTGGGGTGTGGGACCTAGGGCCCTTTGGCCAACGGCAGGAAGGTGTCGACCTCTGAAGAACGCCTGGTAGGTGCCAATTATGTTGAAGGATCTGAATCGAACCCGTCCTATCAATACATGGGTGTTCAACCCCTCCAAAACATCATGGGACTCCCACGTGTCAAGCCCCCCTGTCAACATCAAGCCGGGGGTTGACTTCATCCGGGGTGAACATTAGTTGGCGTGGTTGAAGTTGCAGCCCTGGTCCTTTTGAAGCAACGGGGGTCCAAACCCAAGACCGGATTGGAGTGCGAAACAAGGAAACCAGCGCAGCTTTTGGCAGGTGGCTCCATCCAGCCAGTTTTGGTGGTTCACAGACTCCTCTTTCCCATATCGTTTTCTCCCACTCAAGCAAGAAGCATCGGCCCCAAAAGGGCTCCCGTTTTTTGATTTTCGAGGGTCAATCTGGAGAACCAATCCTGTTTAGTTGGCGGTTCCCAGCTGTCCCCCTAGGTTTTTAGTTTTCTGGGCTTAGTGAGGGTATGTGTAAAATCAGCCCTGAACACGACTATCGAAGAGTATCTAATTGGTCCTAGGATTTTGTCTAGCCAGTGGTTGGAAGGGAGCCAAGGAGCCAAGGAGCTAGGGGTGTTCCAAATTTGCATTTAAAGAGGGAGCTACGCTACCGCTTGTGGATTTGAAACCCTTCTTTTGTTGCCGCATGGGAAACCAAACATCCAAACCAATCCTAATCAATCCAAAACAAACCTAATCACAAATAAAGAGGCAAGAAGGTTATAGGCTCCCCTAAAGGACACAATCTTGGGCCAGTTCAAAAAGCACCTATTTCCCAGTGTGGGGCGGATCCCCTTGTAAAGCAGGCGGTCTTTGAACGTATGCTTTGACATGGCTGGTCTTTGACCAAATCGCCCGAACGAGGATTTTTTTTGGTCAACGGTTTTTCCATGAAACCTAAAGGTGAGACGGACCTTCTGCTCGCTGAGCGCAAAAAGCAACCCAAGGAGCCCTTTTGATCAATTACTTTGGATAGAAATCTCAGTTGTTCAGTGGCACCCTTTTCCCTTTTTTTTTGGTGGCTGCCCCACTAAAAATGGTCTTCCCCAAAAAGGGTTCCCTTTTTTCCAGGGTCACTGAACAACTGAGAAATAGACGGGCAAGCCACTGGTTTAGATTGGTTTTATGCCGCATTTGCCAGTGACACCCATCTAGTTGTCCGAAACGCCAAATGTTGACTCAGCGAAACCGCTTATTCTTTTCAATGTTTCAGTGGTAGCTTTGCCCTTGAAGCCAACAACAGGTGCCTGTGGTTCAAAGGTTTGACTTACAGGAACATCTACAGGAAATGTGCCCCAAACACCCTTAAAAAACTGTATTCCTTCAGAATTTAGATTTTCCCGTAACTCAGCCCTTTGAGGTGTTCCAGAAAAACGCATTCATTTGCCGGCGAAACCCATTGACCTGTCCAAAAGCACACCTGGGCACCTGTGCTGCCTCTTTTCGGGTTCGACCTTCGAACCCTCCCCTCCCCCACCCACCCACCCCTCCCCCCCCTCCCAACCTCTCCTCCCCCCGCCCACCTCCCCTTCGGTTTTGCCCCCCCTTCCGCGAGACCCGGGGGGAGGTGAAACACGCTAAAGCTGTTTCCTCCCTGCAGCTTTGAGGTGTTCCCTGTTTCGGATTGGAACCCCCCCAAACCCCTCCCCCCCCCCCCCCCACCCACCTCCTGCCCCCCCCCGCCCCCTCCCAACCTCCCCCAAAACCCCCCGGGAGGTGCAGCCCTTGGATCTTCTGCGGGGCGCCAGCGGCCTCTCCCGCGCCACCGCGGCGAACATCGCCTCGGAGGCGCGCTGGCTCGCCGAGCGAGCCGCGCTTCACGTGGCGAGCGGGGAGCGAGGTTGCGGGGGGGAGGGAGGCCAGGTCTTTCAGTAGTACCCTTCTCTCCCAACTTTTTTTGGTTGGGAGACTTCGCCTACTACAATAGACTACCGAAAAAAGTTGGCACCCTTATTCTAACCTCTCTGGAGGACCTAGGAGGAGCTGCTCGAAAAGTCCGGACGATCCAGTCCTCATCACCGCTCAGTCGACTTAAGCGGTGAAAACCAAAAAAACCAATCAGCACTTACCACCCGCCTGAGCGGTGGCCTCAGCACATCAAAAGATGCAATACCCAAAAATGATTGATCATGGAAAGACTCAATCTGACGTACAGCTGCGAGATTTTGAGCCACACCCACATGTTGCGAGGGCGGGGCTCTTATTTTTGGAGGGACCCTTTTTTGGGCTGGTCTTTCTGGAAACCAGAAGGAAGCCCAACAAAGTTTGGGGTCTGCTATTCTGAGACAAGCCCATGCCGTTTCCTATTTTATGACGCGAGCTCACAGATCCGGGGATACAACCAGTGAAAGCCATGACAAAGGTCCTTTACTTGGGGATCCGATTCTTGTTTGCGTTTTTGGAATTATAGTAAGATTTGCAGATTCATATCCACACTGCACTCCAGGTTTCCACTTTTTACTACCAAGATAGACTTAAACCCAGGAATCGGTGCGCTTTTTTGGGGGAATGCACGAGGGCTGGATGTAAGTCTATACCCTGAAGTGGTCAAAAAGTGGAACCCTGCACTGGACATCCATCCAACTCACTTCTTGAGTTCATGAACTTTACTCACTTTTTGGAAAGACAACAAGTTCAAGCTGTGGTTGGCCAATCCACTCAGGAAGTGAGCCTTAGGGTTTTTAGGCTTGTACTTGGTTTGCTGGGCGGTTCCATTTAACAGGGTCTTAGGGTGGTTCCATGCACACACTAATTAAAACTTAGACACTTTTGAGCAAGGGATCAGTTTGGACAGTGCTGGTTTTAAAGTGAACTTGTTCAGTTCTCAAAACATCCTTGGGGATTGTTTCCCTTTCCACTTATCTTGCTGGAGCTCTGTAGGGAATGTGGGAATGAACCCAGGGATCCCCTTAAAGGAAACCCCTAGTCTAGTGGGATGGTTTACAGCGTCATTCCATTTCTCAATCGCACCAGCAAGTCATTACCACATATTTAGCGGCCTGGACCCTCAAACTACCCAACAAATGGATTTCAGCCCACATTTGGCAATTTACCCATTTTTAGAGGTATTCTAAGGGTCCAGGGGGTCATTTGGAGGATGTAAACTGCCAACCAACAAAGATGTCACTCCATACTTGTTGGGGCATTTACCGCATTTTAGAGGGTCCAGGGGGTCATTCGTTCGGATGCTTCCATTTGGTTACGAATATTATTTAGTTTCCCCTGTTGGTTTTAAAGGGAATCTGTCACTACTGGAATATTTTTCAATTTTTATTTTTCCAGGGGACTTGAGCCTGACATCGCACGCTTTTTGTCCTGTGGCGAGGTGATGTTCCCGACCCATGTGGGCCGCCTGGCAATCTTCGACGACTACCTCTTTTGCGGGGACGTGGGCTCGGGCTCTTTTGGCAAGGCCCGGGTGGGGACGATCCCCACCGGAATGGTTGATTGGGGGAGTCAGGGAATTCGACCCTTGACCTCCATTTTTATGGTAACCCATGTTTTTGTTTGTTTTTTTGGTTCTGGGGAATACTAGATTAATGGAATAAGGTCCCAGACCCCCTCCCCCACAAGCTAGGCTAGGGCCAGCTAGGGGGGATGTTCTCTGCGTCAATCCCGCGGGGACTTTTCGGCCACGAGGGTCTATGTCGGCAGCTTCGATGGACGGCCTTCTACATGCTTCCGCTTGCTTAAGAATATGTGTTTATTTTTCCCCTGTTGGTTTTTCAAGATAATGTATCACTACCGGAAATATTGGCTAATTTTTCAGGGGACGATGACTCGAAGCACTGAACGACATGTGACCTTGGAGGGGAAATATCCCTCGGTTGAAGTTTGCACAGTCAAAAGATCTAGGCACGCGAGTGATAACATTGTTGTTGGCATCAAACTGGGACAAAAAGCGGAAAACGGCACCCCAACAGTTAAGAGTGTTTATCAGCGAAATGGTCCAGAGTTCCCTTTACGTGGCTAGGCAAACCGGCCGGGCGGGGCTGGACTGGACTCGTCACTCGCCTTGCGCCAGGTGATGCTTGTCCGGCACAAGCCGAGACCTGAGAAGCTTTGGATTGCCCTGGGGTGCAACTTGCGCCCATGAAAAGAGTGGCCCAAGGGGACCCAATTTGGATGATGAGAATCCTTCGGTAGACAATGGTGGTTATATGTTGAATGTTTTCAAAAGGCTTCGTAGGTTTGACCATTTCCGAGGGGGTCAAAATCCACGGCGATTGTTTCGACGATTGTTTCGACGATTCTTTTACCAAAACAATTGTCGCAACAATTGTTTGAGAATACACGGGCACGCAAAACAATTGCTGCAACAAATGTTTGACAAAACGCGGGCGCGCGAAACAATTGTTGCAACAAATGTTTGACAAAACACGGTAAGCAAAACAGTTGTCGCAGCAATTGTTTGACAAACACGGATGTGCAAAACAATTGTCGCAACAGTTGTTTGACAAAACACGGGTGTGCAAAACAATTGCTGCAACAATTGTCTGAAACACGGGCATGCAAAACAGTTGTTGCGGCAATTGTTTGACAATTGCTTTATTATACGACGCGGACATGCAACACAATTGTAAGCAATCCTTGCGCTAGTGCGCTGCAAGAAAAAAGCATCGACGCTGGGGCTGAGGTTGGGGGTGGCTGAGCTACGCCGCTTTGTCAGCTCGCGCCGCAGCTGCTGTTTTGGACTCCAAAGGCACTTGTTGGCTGCCAAGGCTCTGTGGCCTGGCTAGGCTAACTGAGGCTAACTGCATCTCTGTCCCGGGGTCGGGTGGCGTAGATGTTGCCGACTAGGTCAGAGACCGGCTCACGGCATAGGCCTGCCTCCTTGCACAACGCGGAGGGCTGCCAAGGTGGCATGGACATCCGCCTGCGTGACTGGGGCGCTGGGCTCGCGAAGGACGAAGGCTGCAAGCGCTGCCTGCCAAATGGCCAGCAGCACTGGTAGGGACATCGCGTTGCCAGCGAGGTCCGTCATGAGGCTTTCTGTGAGCCACTTGCGCTGCGATTGGCCATGCGAAGCGTCGATCTCGTGGCGCAACTCGGCTAAAAGCCTGCGGGCTGGAAAACCTTGCATGATAAGCGCCTCCTGGCCCAAAAGCACCCGAGCAGGCCTGGTAAGCTCCACAAACAAAAGCTGCCCGGGCAACATCGTTGGGGCCACGTGCTTGCCGGAATCTGGGCTCCAGCTTTGCGAGTGGACTCGGCCAACTGACTGGCTGAGATTCCGAAACCCCGCCGAAGGCGCCTGATGCCTGCTCAGCAGCAATGAGTCTTTTTCTCGGTCTGTGAGGGTGTCAAACCAGTCGTTGCAGGCAAGGTCCGCAGGAACAGGCTGGCCCCACCGCACGCCAGCGCTCTCTGAGTAGCGCATGTGCTGCTCAATCCACGCGCTCCCTGCACTGTTGCTCTGAGAGCGGCCCGCGCTCTTCAGGGCCTTGTCTTGCCGCGCAATGAGGAACTGCTTGACATCCTCATCGTCCCAGGGCAAGAGAACCTTGCTTGCACACGGGGCTGAGCGCACGCACGACGCGACGCAGGAGCGAAGCGAGTCAAAACAAGCCTCCAGCGGCCGGCTGCTGAAACTAAAGACGCAGTTCGTGACCTTGACAAACACGACGTAGAGTCGGCGGCGCCTCGCGGGCAAGCCAAACTGGTTGGAGTCCACAAGAAGCTTCTGGCCAGAATACCCTGTGTTCGCCATGGTCTCCATGAGGTGCTGGAGGTTGTTCTGCTGGGACTGCGGGATGGCGTCGTCGATTGAGTCCACGTTCTCGTAGACGATCATGCTGGGGCCGTGCTGCCTCACATATGCCACGAACCCTTGAAACGTTTGGGCCGAGCCCCCTCGGCTGCTGACTTGGTCTAAGACCAACTTGGTGTTGTCTTTCGAGGGGTTTGCCCTGCTTAAGTCCTTGCAAGACGTTCCAACAACAAAGATGTCCACCCGGGGAATGGGGCAGTCTTTGTCATGCACCACGCAGTGCCCGGCTGCCTCACCAAGCTGCCCGATGTCTGCGAAGATGCAAGCATCACCGGCCCACCAATCTGGGTCGGAGTCCAGGTCAGCGCCTGGCAGCCCCATTGTGGTGGCATCGGAGCGGGACGTCTCCCCGTCAGAGCAACCCGCATCTGGCTCAAAGTCATCAAGCCCTGCCCAGCTTGCCTTGCCGGCTGACAAGACTGCAGAGATCCATCGCTGCTTGTCTTTATTTGCCTCGCATGAGAAGACATGCTGCAGCGATGTCTTGGCGCGCGCACGGCCAAGGGCAGCGTTGATGGCCATCGCAACGTAAAAGGCGCCCTCAGTACCTGAGCACGCAGATGCCCAGGTCAAAGTTACCTTGTCCGGCCTCGGCGCGCTCTCTTGCTGCAAGACTTGGGCAAAGCCCGCAAGGTTCTCCCGAGCCAGCTGTGGCAACAAAGTGCCATCTACCAGGCCTTCTGCATCCAACACCCGGCTGAAAGCCGCAGCCTGCTGGTCTATGTTCAACGACTCGGACTTCTGCTGCTTCAAGGTGCGGGCCCGTTTGGGTGCCTGAGCTTCAGGCAGCTCAGCCATGAAAGCTACCGGCCCGCCCTACTAGACCGACAAAGCCTGAAGACTAAGACTACAGAGAACGCGCGAGCCACACCTGAAGCAAAGCAGCGGAACAAAGTGCGTGGGTTACAAACTTGCGCAGAAGCCAACAAACCAACCGTAAGGAGACGCCCTCTCACCCTTAGCGGTTTCACCGTCAAACAAAACCCTGGGCTGCCCCAAGCCCTAGAAAGCCCGAACCTTGCGCACCTTGGGCGTGTGCGTTGTTGGGACCCCAAAACTGCCACTACCCAGCGTTGAGACCCAAGCCTAGCTAGCCAAGCACGCAGCGGCCGACTACCGTTTTGCACTGCCTGCGCACTCTTTCAGGAACTCTAGGGCTACGCTACTGGGCGCGTCAGAAGTAGAACAGGGCGTGACCACGGCTTAGCCGGCTTTCCTCTTCCTGGCGGCACCTGCCTTGGCCGTGGCCTTTGCCTTGGCCTTGGCCTTGGCCTCTGCCTTGGACTTGGGGCCGGCGGTGGCTGCTGCCACAGGCGCCTTGTCAGCGGCTGTCTCCTCCGGGTCTCCTTTGCGTTCCTTGGCTTGTTTCTTCTTGTCTGTCTTGCCCTCCTCCTTGTCCTTCTTTTTTTTCTTGTCTTTGTCGACCGCGTCCTTCTTCTCCTTGTCTGCGTCCTTCTTGCGCTTCTTGTCCTTCTTTTCCTTCTTCTCCTTTTTATTCTTCTGCTCCGCTTTTTCGTCGCCACTGTTCTTGCACTCCTCTGCCGCTGCCTTTTCTGAAGCTGCCGCTGCGACCGCTCCCTCAGGCGCTGGCAGGCCGCTGCATGCGCCGCCAGGCTTTTGCTTGCTGCCTGGTTCCTTCTCAAAGCCGGCTGCGACGTCAGTCTTGGCCTTCTTCTTTGCCGGGCCTTTGGTGCCTTGGTCCTGGGTGTGCAGAGCTGCTGCTACTTCTGCGGCAGCGCTCTTAGCAAACTCCAGCAACGGGGCGGTAGTGTCTCGCGTGTGTTGGTTGAAGCCTTCCTTTTCAGCCTCGAAAGCAAGAAGGCGGGCCTCCAAAGACTCGGCCACAGGCCTCAGCTCCTTGAGCAATGCCTTGCCGTCGTCAGAAGTGGTGCCAAGGATCGGGTTGCGCAGCAGACACAGGCCTGCAATCAGGGTGACGTGGAAACCTGCAATTCTTGCTGTAAGGCTGCAGTTGTCCGAAAATTCCACGGGCAAGCCTTCCAGCTCCAGAACGTTCACAGGCCCTTGCGCCGCTTGCTTGCCAAACACAACAGGGTCCAAGACCTTCAAGATATCCTGCGGCACGCGCAACTGCGACAGCTCGGCCTCCATGGCGGTCGACTGTTTTGCCAGTTCCGCTACGTGCTTCACACCGTGGGCTCTGTAGGCTGCTTCCTCAGTGAGGCTTGGTGTTGGCAGGCTGCCCAGCAACTTGTCCAAGTTGCATTTTGCGATCTTCAAGGTTTTGGCGGCACTCTGCGCCTTTTTGGTGAGGAGCTCCCTGTGCAAAGTTAGCCGCTGCTGGAAATGCTGAATTGCCTCTTCCGAAGCAATTCTCGTCTTCTCCAAGTCCTGCTTGAAGGCGGGGTCGGCGGCGCTGTCCTCCGCTTCCTTGACAGCAACGCAAAGCTTCTCAGACAAGCAGCAGAGTTTCTTGGCGAAGCCTCTCAACTCGTCGTTGGTCTTCTGGCCAGCCCCGTGCGGGCCATGCTTTGCCACCTGCGCAAGAAGAGTCAGCAAACAAACGCGACAAAGCCCCTACAGCCAATGAAACTTGACCGTTGCCGCAAACAAGAGAGTCACACCCGCCCGGAAGGCACCAACTGTTTTTTCACGACGAAGTGAACAATGTGCAATAAAGCTCTAACGGTCAAAGGCATGGACCGAACGGCTGTCCCCCGCCTCCAAAAACGCCGTCACCAAGTCGCGCAGTTTGTGGGTCTTTGGGACCCGGCTGAGGAGCTCTGCCGCCATGTTGCTGGACAGCCCAGCGCCAAGTAAGCTCTGCACACACTGCGAAACCACCGGGGCAACGCTCTCCAAGCCAACAGAGAACAAACTGGCAAGCTCTGCCCGGACTGGCTGCAGCAGAAGCTTCTCCGTTTTCTCCAACAGCCCTGAGGCACTGACCCACCTCTCCAGTTTTGGCATCATCTCAGTAGACCAGGCATGCAAGGCCGGAGCCTCCACGGCAATGGGCGGCACATGCTGGAACGAGGGCTGCCTGTGTAGGGAAAAACGGGACACCTCCACCAGAATCTTGGAAAGGGCGCGGTACTCGTCCCGCCATGGCAAATCACCTGGTACGAACGCCCAAGCCGGATGCTCCACACAGGACGTGGCTCGAAGCCCGTTCTCCACGTCATCCAAATTGATGATGGACATCTCGCCATCCGACTCGATCTGGCAGTTGTGCTCCAGCGCGTAGGCCACTGCGTTCCTTAGGTGGGATGCGTTGCGTGGGCCTAGCCGGCCTGGAAGGCGGTTTGGAAAC